TCTTGCCTCAGCCTCCCGAGTAGCTGGGACTACAGGTGCCTGCCACAATGCCCAGCTATTTTTTTGTTGCAGTTTGGCCAGCTCGAGGTTTGAACCCGCCACCCTCGGTATATGGGGCCAACACCCTACCCACTGAGCCATAGGTACCACCCAACACAAAATTTTTAAAACACTAGAAGAAGCAGAATTCTTTTTAAATTATAGAATAAGGAAGACATTTTTCACTATGACACAAAATACAGAAGCCATAAAAGATAAATTATACAGAAAAAAAATAATTTCTATTAGTATGTATCATATGGGCTACAATTTGTTTAAAAAACAATAGCATATAAAGTACAAATATACATAAATATATCTATGGACTGGCCCTGGATACATAATAACACTGTCAACAAAGACTGCCTCTGGGGAAGGAGACTGAGAGATTTATACTGGAATTCTATATTATGCTTAATTACCTATTTCAAAAATATAAATAAAACAACTTTTGCATTGTCTGCTCCTAACCATCAGCTTAAATATAATCAAGGGCTTACTATAAAAAAAGTGTTCCTCACAAGAAACAGCTAATATTAAGCATCCAATTTACAAACAGTATATAACAAACAGTTCTTAGTATAATGCCTGACATACAATAGGTACTTAAATAATAATAGGTACCCATTATTTGTCACTGTCTTCCTATAACAAATTATTTTGAAATGTGTCCATGGTATTTTCAAAGTTGAGAACTCTACATGTGATAACACTATACACTTTAACATAAAATATTCCATTTTCTACACCTTATTTCAATGGGACAACATTCAATTAATTGAAATCTTGAAATAACCATCATTTAGACCCTTCGACAACTGATCACATCTCTTCATTTACACTCCAGGCCAGCTGCATTGCTCATTCCTGAAAATGTCCTTGCTTCCCTCCCTACTTTTGAAGATACTGTTTCGTTTCTTCTGGAGAGAGAACTTTACCCGATCTCTGCCTACTGGAATCATTCCTCCTAATGGGGTCAGCTCATCCCCCTTATATACTAAACTCTCTGCAAACTGTGGACAAGTTTATTATTCACACACATACACACAGAAGGGTAACGAAGATACAAAAAGATATAAAGACAGAATGATCAATTTAAAGTTATTTATTAAACAAGTTAAACACAACTAAAAGTATATTTAAAAGTCCAACATTATTGGATCCCTTTTGAAATTCGTAGCATCTATTCTGAAAACAAGTGTTTTCTCAAATTTTCTAAGAGGGAAATGATAAAAACTGAACAGATTAAAAAAAATCTTAAATAAACAATAAAGCATATGGTAAATTCAGAAATAAAAACAACCATACAAACGGTTAAACTATGAAACCAAAATGTTTTATGCATGTTTATCAATGCTTCTGGTAGCCTCACAAGAGAGCTAAACTGTCAATATCCAAGTTAATAAACAATATATAAACTCACCTTTAAGGTATCATACTTTGTATTATACAGAAACAATTTTCAAAAGAATGTGTGTTCGCTGTGTAAACTGCCCACATTTAGCAAAACTGCCTCTGAACATTTTACATATGAACATACTCACTTACACTTATTGGAAAACAAAAGAACTTAAAATTTAAACATCTTGATTTGAAAACAATTGTGGATTTCATAGTTCTGCTAAATCCCAACATTATAATCACTGAATGTGCTATCTTATCTTCTGATAGTTACTCAAAATTTTTTTTAAGAACTGCTTCTAAATATTTCAGTGTTTTAGAGCAAAAGGAAATATAACATATTTTTTGTTCATAAATTCTGATGCTTAGTGTCTATGGTGAACACAAAAATGGTGTGATAGGGAAGAGTCCTATAGAAAAGCCTCTCTCTTTTCGGTAGTTCCAAGTGGTGTTATACAATATTTCAGTGGAAATAGTGGTTGCACCACAGATTTGGCAGTTGCTTCTGTTTAAAACATAACTTTGCCCCGTAACATCCATCAAAGGCTTTTAAACATAATTGACTTTGGCAGAACACATGGAGACCATGATGTGAATGGGGAGTGCCAGTGGACTGGGGGCTTTTATGAAAAGAAGTTTTCTCTGTGTGGATGTGTTTTAAGAAGGAAACAGGGGATGAAATAGTTTATCCAGAACTGTAAAACACATTTTCCTAATTAGGTCTCATTTGTATAAATAATGTAAGTCAAATGTATATGACTTAAATGGATTCTGAATGTCTAAAAGAGAAGCAAATCTCCACCTCACCAACCCCCCTTTCTATCACTCTTAGAGAGGACAAAGCTTTAGTCACATACATTCTTCTGGACACAGAGGGAAAGGTCTCTTTGTTCCCTTCTCAGTCTGAAAGGGACGGGGAACGTATAGACCTGCCACTGGCAGGGCTGGAGAAAGTGAAAGGCTCCTTGTCCTTTTCTTTACTGTCATGCTTATGTTTGTGTTTATGCTTATGCTTGTGCTTCTTCTTCTTTTTCTTGTGTTCGTGGTGATGATGGTGATGGTGGTCACTATGTTTGGAGGACGTAGATTCCTTAGTAAACACTGAGAGTGGAGCGGCTGCCACTGGGTGCATACTCATCTCCAAAGGTGATTGTTCTTTACCTTCAAAATTAAAAATACTCAAATGAGTTCCTATTGACAAAATGTAAAGTGAAACTAGAGAGGAAGCTAATGACAATATGGAAAGAATTCTTAAGTGTTTATCACTTCCATTAAGAAAAGGAGAAGTATTATAAATAACACATCCAACTAGTTATAGAGTTTTCAGCAGGAAGTTGAATACTTTACTTAGTTTCTTAAATTCTATACAAATTATGACATACACTAGTTTGTTACCAAATCAAGAAACAATAATTGTCCTAGAGGTTAAGACCCACATTTGTGAATGAAAACAACTTTCTCAATTATGGTTCTGCCCTAACATCCTGAGGGGAATAGCAGTATAACTGACCCTTGAACAACACACAGGCTTGAGCTTCATGGGTCCAATTATACACGTATTTTTTTTTGATACAAAACATACATAGACAGAGGACCAACTTTTTGGATACACAGGTTCTATATGGCTGACGGCAAAATTTGAATATACATGGATTTTGGTATACACAGGGTGCAGGGCGGTTGTGGAAGAGATCCCTCTACGTATACTGACTGACAACTGCATTTTAATTGTGCCATTTGGAGTCCATTTACACGCACATGAACATGTTACCCTAGATGTTGGTAATAACATCTCTGTGCAAATTAAATATTTCTCTAGTTCTTAAGAATTCCTGGGACCAGATGGGCAAAAGTGAATTCCTTAAGAAGATTCCTTATACATAGCTTCAATTTTCCTAAAAGGTGGAGTCTATAAAGAGAATGTCTCTCTATAAAGGTAAGAATAATATTACTTATCATTATTGGAGGATGCTAGTCAATTCAACTCATTATTTTGAAAATTATTAACTAGAGAAAGGTATTTACATTTATTTTCCTATATGCTTTATATTACTGGGTAATAGTAGAAGAGGAGGAACTGGGCTTTGAAGAAGCAATCCAGTTTATAAACAAAAATAAAAGTATGGATTGGAATATCACCATTTTGCAACCCTTAATGAATTAATGGATCTAGGGCCTAAACACACATAGCAGTTAACTTCATAAAAAAGAGCTGATCAGACACTGTGTTTCCACACTGAAGAACACACCACCATCTATAAACCTGAATCCAATTAAGCTTCTAGATACAACTAAACTATAAATTTACAGGAAGTATATAGAGAACTCTAATATATTAATTATACCATGGGCAAATATTAGCAAAATATAAACTTGAAAACTACAGATAAAAAAAAAAAATCTGCTTTCTTTAACAAATACATTGTAAAGACAGGGGAAAGAAAAAAGGGACTAAAAACTTTAGATTAGAAAAGATATAAAAGTAACTTACAACCACCTCATCTTCAATAAACCAAAAGAACGTCCACTGGGGGAAAGACCCCCTATTTAATAAATGGTGCTGGGAGAACTGGATATCCACATGTAAAAGACTGAAACTAGACCCGCACCTCTCTCCACACACAAAAATTGATTCAAGATGGATAAAGGACTTAAATTTAAGGTATGAAATGATAAAAATCCTCAAAGAAAGACTAGGAAAACACCGGAAGATATCGGCCTGGGGAAAGACTTTATGTAGAAGACTGTCCTGGCAATAGCAACAACAGCAGTAACAAACAAACGGGATTTAACTAAACTGAAAAGCTCCGTACAGCCAAGGAGACAACAACCAAAGCAAATAGACAACCTATACAAGGGGAAAGGATATTTGCATATTTTGAATCAGACAAAAGCTTAATAAATGGAGATTTTGCAGCATTTGTATTAACCTGGATGGCGGTTATATGACTATAATGTTAAGGTATGACAATGTTACAGTTATTATGATTTTTAAAATGCTATCTTTTAGAGATGCATACTAAATTGTTTATGAATAAAATTATATAACATGTAGGATTCACTTCAAAATAATTCAGAGGGGCGGAAATATGAGTATAGATTAACTAAGACTGACCATTAACTCATCATTGGTAAAGCTGAGTAAAAGATACAGAAGACTCATTATATTATGCTATGAATAGTCTGACTACAGCTCTCCATAATAAAGTGTTTTTTTCTTAAAGGAGAAGTTAAGGTAATTTGGTAATATCCATGAAAATGTTAAATGCTCATATTCTTTGATCTAGATAGTTAATTTCTAGAAACTTATCCCACTATGTTCATGCATATATCCAAAGAAATATGTACAAAGATATTAATTAGAAGTATTTGTAACAACATAACATCAGCTCTAATGTTGCCCTGTCACCAACACCAACCTTTAGCTCTTAAGTTTTCATTTACTATAGACAATATAGATTTTGTTTGCTTATTCTCTATCTTTCCTAAGTAATATTTTGCTAGGTTGAAACCAAAGGTGATAAGAAAGTAGTTTTCTCCCCATGTGAAACTGCATTAATAAGGTGATTTGGGAAACACATGAATGTGCTTTCAAGCAGCCTAACGAGGTCATCTATAGAATTTCTATCGAAAAAGTGCATATATTTCTATCTCCAACACAAACATTTACATGCATAATTTCATATCATTTCCGGGGTTTACAAGATACCCGGGAACTTGAAGTCCTTTTAGTGACCTGAAATATGTGTCTCTATTCTAGAGATAGCAAATATACCAGAAAAAGGAGCTACATCAAATTCATATTATAATTTTCCTGTTTTATACAAAAGAACAAAGGAGATGGTCAGAGTTTTATTGTTTTGGTGAACATAAAATCCTTCCTGGAGACCAAATGAAAGGCACCCATGGATAAGGGTTAGCTCCAGTCAATTTAACAAACGTAAAACAAACAGAAAGAGGTACTTAATATAAGACAAATGTGGAAGCTCTTTCAGCCCATTTGATAAAAGTGCTGTTAAGAACAGTGAATGCCCTGCTGATTCTATCTACTCACATTAGCTATATGTTTAAATTTAACACAAAATCTGCGGTTTCTATTAGGAAAGGTATGAAGTCTGTTCTTTGGATTCTTTAGATCAATGTAAAAAAAAAAAGTATAGCATTATATCACCATAAGGATTAAAAAAATCAAAGTCTTTTTTTTTTTTAGAGTTTATTAGAGTTTCAAACAAAAAACCTTTAGGGCAAGCTCTCAAGCTCTTTAGAAAAAATACTTTTTAATTAAAAAAGTATCATGTACTAGAACTGTGCTTTTCTAACTTATGCAAGAAGGTGTTACATAATGCAACAGCCCTAGCTAAGAAGCCACAGGAACTCTCCCTCTCTTCTTCCCTACAGACCCCACTAGGGAATTCCCTCTGCTTCCCTCACCCCCACTCCTCTCCAACCCCTGCAGCAACCTGGGAGACAGCCCAGTCACCACAGGCCTTTGCAGAAGGGACAGGGAGTTGCTGTGATGGGAAGGAAAAAGAAATAGTAATGAAGGGAAATAAACTTGCCCACTTTTCCTTTCCTACCCAGTGGCTTGTCCACTACCCACATATGATCCCTCTCTAAAATATTCCTCTATCATATGCAAGGAAAGGGAAATGGGGGTAGGGAAGGCTAGAAAGTAAAACTTGACCTGCTCGCTACTGTACAGTTTCCATGTCTTCTTTCCCTGAGCCCCAATTCTTCTCTACCTCTCCCAGACAAGGTCTGCAACCCATTCTACACATTCCACTTTTCAATTATCATCTGCCTCCTTGGCTGCAAGGGAGTTATCTAAGACTTCACCTAAGCTTGTAAATGAAAAAAAAACAAAAACAAAAACAAAAACAAAACACCCCTCCCCCCAAAACCCAGGGGCTTCAAACTCAAATCTTGAAAACAGCCTAAATAAGTAAACAGACTATTTACTGGGTGTGGCATAAGGGAATTAATGAGTTGGAAAACACATGCTCCACCGAAGCGGCCCTCTTGGTTAAATTTTTTTCAAGAAAAGCTGGAAATCCAGATTTCTATGTGTAATCTCTTCATTTTTAGTGAATCAGTAAGGCTTATACAAACCGCCTCAGCTGGATAAGCTGAATATACGAAAAACAAAACGAAACAAAAGGACACCCCCCCCAACCCCATTTGCGACCTTTAATCTAAAATCCCTAGAGACTAAAGAGAGGTCACAGCTTTCCTTATCACTGCTGTGTGCTGTGTCTTCCTCTTGAACCTCCAACTTTCGAACAAGGCCACAGTAGCTATCACAACAGAAGATCTCCAACTGAGAGGCAGGAAAAAGGAAATTCCTTTTTTATTGCCACCAACTTTACCTGACTTTACAGGGTTAGGGTAAAGCTGTGCTCTGACATCCCAAAATATGAAGCTCTGCGGGCCCCTGCTCACAGAAACAATGCTGCATAAACTAGCTAGATTGCAAACTTCTGTTCTTCATGTACGGTCTGGTTAAAAGGCCTTTAGCTGGACTAGTTTGGGTAAATAACTTAGCAAATGTAACAACCTGTCTATGGAAAAATTGCACTTAAAATTCCAAAATAAATTCATGTACAACTGAAACACTATCATTGCTAAAATGAAGGCTTTCTAAATTCTGCCAATATTGCTACTGAATTTTAAGACTTGCTTGGTAGCTTTAAGGTACCGAATAGCACAAACACATTAAAAGGAAATTACAAAGGTGTATAAAATACATAATCAAAGTTAAGTTTAATAGATGAGTCCACCTAACTAGTATACATTTTCCCTCATGACTTAAAAAGGTCCTACAGCGACAGCAGCCCTAGCTGAAATTTTAATGCTTTCCTATTCCTTACCACTAGCCCTACCTCTCTCCCTCCAGTCTTCCCATATAATGCCATGAGAACTACAAGACTACAAAGAGATTCCCCCAAAAGTGAAAATGTATTTTTTTTTTTTTTTTTTTTTTTTTGGAGACAGAGTTTCACTTTATTGCCTGCCCATAGTAGAGTGCTGTGGAGTCACACAGCTCACAGCAACCTCCAACTCCTGGGCTTAGGCGATTCCCTTGCCTCAGCCTCCTCCGTAGCTGTAACTACAGGTGCCTGCCACAATGCCCAGCTATTTTTTTGTTGTAGTTTGGCCAGGACCAGGTTTGAACCTGCCACCCTCAGTATATGGGGCTGTCGCCCTGCCCACGGAGCCACAGGTGCTGCCCGTGAAAATGTATTTTTAAAAGCAATAGGGAACAATGATACAAAGGCATATTTGTGGGCACAAAAAAGGTTAAGATTTGCTTCTACATAGGTTAATAATAACAAATGTACTCAGACTCTTTTTGGAAGAGGAACTAATTAGACTCTTAGAAATTCAGAAGGGTTTTTTTTAAAGGCAAGGTAGGCAGGTGGGCAGAAGCATCACTCTCAAACTAAATCAAGAAGGCTGATACTCTTTAAGCTTTATAATCTTAAAAAATATAAAACTTCATGTCTAAAAAAATTTTAATAAGTATGATAACAAGACAAAATTATGCCAAAAGCAAACACAAAACTGGCAACAGCAAAGAAATGTCAAAATTAAGAAAGTTAAGTGCCAACGTACTCAGTTGATTTCCTTCTGAAACATATTTTGTGGTATTCTATTAAAATAAATGCATAGGGAACACGAAGAATTGTATGTGATCAACAATCTGATGTCTCAACAGCAAAATATTTTGAGGGGTTTCTTTTGTGTCTCAGTTGACCCTGAGCTCCTCACATCAATAAACAGTACCTCTAGGCCACGCCTGTGGCTCAAAGCAGTAGGGCGCCAGCTCCATATACCGGAGGTGACAGGTTCAAAAACCCAGCCCTGGCCAAAAAAATATTAAATAAATAATAAATAAATAAATAAAATAAAATAAACAGTACCTCTCTAGAAAAAAAAAAAAAAGATACAAAATATGGCTCCTATAAGCAAAATCCATCAACTGGAAGGTAAGTGCCAGGGTGCCAGGTAAAGCCTGGCTAACGACTAATGACTTTTTGAAACATTATTCATTAAAGATGACTTTGTATATTTATTTCACTTTCTGTTCTTTCAAAAATTGAGGACTGAATATTTGCTTCACAGTCGTTTATCAGAATTGAAATGTTTACTCTTCTTTCTGGATTATAATCTTTTCTTTGTAAGCAGCAGAACAGTTAAAATAAGTCAAAAAACTATAAAATAATAAACAGGTAACAAACACATCTGGATTTAATTAGTTTTCATAACTTTAATCAGTAAGAAATAATACAGAAGATGTTAAAAGACGGAAGATGTTAAAAGTTTTCTAGGTACAGCATCAAGTCTTTATGGGATGGGGAAGCAGGGATAAGCGGTTGATTTTAGTATTTTGCAAAAGTTATAAAGGTACAGATATGATGGTTTCTACTGAAACAGCATTTGTCAGCGAAGAGCAAAGCAAACATAATGGTATCTTTAAAGAGGATCAGGGGGCGGTGCCTGTGGCTCAAAGGAGTAGGGCACCGGCCCCATATAACGGAGGTGGCAGGTTCAAACCCCACCCTGGCCAAAAGCTTCCAAAAAAAGAAAATAATGAGGGATAATTTTTTTCTCATCTAAGTTTTTGTTATTTCCAAATTTTCTATAATAAAAATATATTACTTTTTCAGAGAAAAAAGACTATTTTAAAATAGTCTTTAAAGTCGGATAATATAAATAAAGTTAATGTAGTATAAGAAAAGCTGGCTCAGTGCCTGTAGCACAGTGGGTACAGCCCTAGCCATATAAACTGAGGGTGGGTGGGTGTGAACTGGGCTCGGACCAGCTAAACAACAATGACAACTGCAACAAAAACCAGCTGGGTGTTGTAGCGGGTACCCGTAGTCCAAGCTACTTGGGAGGCTAAGGCAAGAGAATTGCTTAAGCCCAAGAGTTTGAGGTTGCTGTGATCTGTGGGGAAAAAAAAAAGTCCTAGCTTTTTAAATTAAGTAACTCTATAAAGTTTATAGATTTATTCTTTTGTTCTTTTACAGATTTCTTCTTCCTTTCTTTTATTATTTTCTTAGAGACAAGGTCTCACACTGGCCCATAGGCTGGAGTGTAGTAGCCTATCATAGCTCACTGTAACCATGAACTCTTGGGCTCAAGTGATCCTCCAATCTCAGCCTCCTAGATAACTAGGACTACCAGCATGTCCACCAAGACCAGCTTATAAACTTGTTCTTGAAGAGAAAAAAAAAATTAATTAATCATACCTGCTGCTTTCCGTGCAAGTTCCATACTCCACTGGGGTTTTGTGGCGGGTGTGCTGTCAGAGCCTGATGAATGTTGGGGTATTAAGGCAGATCGGGAGCTGGCCGGCCGAAACTTAGAGAGCCCTAAAATACCAAACAAGAGGAAAAAGAAGGATTTATTTGTTTTCCAAAGAAGAAAAAACCTGATAAGTTTTTGTAGTTGGCCTAAAAAAAAGATGCAATTCAACCACAGAAAAATTCTTACAATGGAAAGAATGCTCTTTTAAAACTGCTAAAAATCCCAATTAATACTATGTCATGCTTTGAAGCTGAGTTCATGGTTCTGTCTAAACTGCCAATCAGTATCTTAGGGATGATAATGTAAATTGTATATAGCGCCATTACCAGAGTATTGTTCTATGTTAGTTATTAGATTGGTACATTCCCATAGTAATACAAGGTCTAATAATATAACAAGAAAAAAATACTTTGCCATGGTTCCTGCAAGCTTAAACTTGAAAACAATATGCATTTGAGTGAGATAATCAACTTGAATGACTTGCTGAACATATAAATAAAACCCTATATACTGGGACAGAAACTTTTATATTTTTTATGATTAATGCAAAACTTTGCATATAGTACAGTTTGTCTGCTTCCCCTAAATTTTCTAGTAAATATCACTGTAAAATTTCCTCAATAGATAAAACTAATTTAGGGATTACAGAAGGCATTTAAAAACAAGAAATGGTTTAAAATGAACTGCACTGTAATAGAAATTCAGAGATCCAGATTTTGATTACAAACTTGTCTATAAATTAGAAATACATTCTGGGCAAGATACTTTATCTCACTGCGTCTTAATTCCTTCACTTGTCACATGGATAGACCCTAAGATTTGGGTCTATCTCTTAGTTGGCCATTACTTGAATAGAATATGACATCTAGGATGTCACTTAGCATTGCTCTGCTCATTTACTTAAATGGACAGAATAGATAAATAATCATTAAGATGTCTTAAATCATAAATGCCAAAGAATTCACAACCTATCAGTTTTCAGACCCATATATGCAGACTCATTTTCAACCTGCAGCCAGTTCTTAAATTCTGTTACAGGAGAGTAAAAAACTCCGATTACAGGAGAGTAAAAAAATACTTCAGGTAATATAAGTAACATTAAAACAGAAAGCCAAATAAACAAAAAGCCAATCAATAGCAATAATGAGGTCTTAGCATAATGTAACATAACAGAAAAAAAAAACCTCACTCAAACTTAGAGAAGATGAAAGACAACTTCATGGGCTATGAATAGGATTTTAAAACAATAACCAATAGTACTCAGGAAAAAACAAACAAAAAAATGGGATGGGGGAGAGAAGAAAAATAGTCATACCTCTGATGGAAGAAATATATTAGAAAGCAAACCTGAACTGTCATTTTATAGTTATTCTATGTTTTATTTATTTATTTTTTTTGAGACAGAGCCCCAAGCTGTCCCTCTGGATAGAGTGCTGTGGAATCACAGCTCACAGCAACCTCCAACTCCTGGCCTCAAGTAAGTCTCCTGCCTCCACCTCCCAAGTAGCTGGGACCACAGGCACCTGCCACAATGCCTGGCTATCTTTTGGTTGCAGCTGTCATTGTTGTTTGGTGGGCCCAGGCTGGATGAGAACCCGCCACCTTAGGTGTATGTGGCTGGCGCCTTAGCCACTTGAGCCACAGGCGCTGAGCCTATTCTAATGTTTTAAATTATTAATATGGTGACACTAAAAACAATGCTGTGTCAGATATGAAGTGATTTCAAATAAAAATGAATTATTATTTTTGCATCAATATAAATTTTAGAAACACCATGATGAGTGAAAAAAGTAAGTCATGTTATACCATTTTCATGAAAACTCAAAAAGGAAGCACAAGTAAATATATAGGATCACAAACCTATGTGTTAGTACATCTTAAACAAAAGTGACAAAATGAAATTAAGAAAAATAAAAAATGAAAATTCGAGACAGTTGCTATTTGTAGTGCAGAGGCATAAGAACAGGACCAATGAAGAAGCGCAAACGGAACGTCTGTGATGGTGTGTGATGTACATGTGAAGATGGGATGTAAGTTCACGGTAGTTTTGTTACTGTATTTCAAAACCTACTTGTAAATTACATCAGAGGCTCTGTTTCTTAAAAATTAAAAAATTCTGATGATATAAACTGCTGTAGTCTCTTCAAAAAAGTATTATGGTACTATGTATAAAAAGCTATAAAAATCTTCCAAAGATAAACATTTCACAATATAGCTAATATTTTCACTAATAATACAATTTGGAAAATTTATTCAAAGGCACAACTTTTGACAAAAAAGAACAAAAGGTTGCATGAAGATATTCAGTACAGAATTATTTATAACTAAAAATTAGAAACTAAATGCTTGTCAATAAGGAAATAATAAGGCAAATTATAGTATATCAATTCTATAATGCCTTACATAGTGTTTTCACAAGAAAACATGATACTTTTTGAGATGCATGCAAAAATAGAAAAGTATATGGCATAGGCAGGCAAAAGGAAAGGGTAATGCTACGGGCAACATTAACTTCAGGGAAAAAAAGGGATCTTAATTTAATTATAGTAACATTATTAAAAATAAAGCAGACCTAACATTTTCTTTTGAAGTTAAGTCTACTACATATAAGCAAAATAGAAATTAAAGCTATCAGAGAAATCTGACAAGTGGATTTTATACTAACAAATATGTAAGTATGCCAAATATTTTTAAAAGACCAAGTTAAACAGAAAATTAAAAAAAAATCACTTTTTAAATTTATTGCTTTACCAGTATATGTTGTAATCTGACATAATCCAATTATTTTACACTGGCTAATTTTAAACTTTATAGATGTTTGTTTTAAAATAAAGCAACACACCTTAGAATACTATTATCAATAACTCCATCTCTCTAAAAACTGCAGCACACTAATCTCACCTGGAGTTGACGGCCTTTCAAGCATGTTCAAATGATGGGAAATGAAGGCCTGGCTATCATGAACGGTATCCATATCAATCTCCTCCTCATCTTGAGAATTTGAGAACTAAACAAAACACACACATACAAAACAAAACAAAGGGATAAAAGAGCCATTATATCACTTCACGTTTGGATCTCAGATCTTAGGAAAAGCAGCAGAGGGGCCATAGGACACAACCCCGAATAATCTTAAAAGGAAAAGCAGTTTCTTTTCCTCAAAAGGTAAGAGAGAGAAAAGATTATGTGCTTCAGCCTCCAGATGAAGCTGAATGAAAATCACTGGAAACGTAACAGCAACTAAAATCTACTCCTATGTTGTGGGAACAAGTCGTGTGCCTCAGTGGTACATATGTGCACACATAGTTCCTCCCCCAAATAGAGAAGAAGTATGTGGTAACAAAAGTTAAATAACTGGTTGGAAGGTCTTACAAGGACATTTGAATTCTTTTATGATTCACTCTGTCCCATGTATTCCTGCTAAGGAAAAACCACTGCAAATATTCAAAAAGATTTACAAGGAGGTGAATATCCTACACTGTTAATACAGGTTTAACCTGTATTTCTTACTCTGATTTTGAGTTTGACTTTACTGCTATCCTCATTCTTCTCCAGTATTTGACCAGGTTCTAGTGGGGACCCCAGTGGTGTATCAGCCTTCCTCTTCACTCCCTGCTGATGAGCTGATATATTACATGATGCTTCCTTGACAAGGTGATCATCTTCCTGCGGCAATATTCAAGATCAAAATTAGATTTCTGAAGACAAGTAGCTCACATTATAGCTGAAAACTAATAGCTACAGCAACCATGCAGATTAGAGCATGCCCAGTGGCTAGAAGTAATTAGCAATGGGCATATAATAAATTTAAATTTAACGTTTTCCTGTCTGCTAGTCTTTTTGAGGGGATAAGACAGGTATTTAGAGCTTTCCCCCAAAGAATTTATCTTTTGGTGCCATTTTTTCCTCTTATCCTGAAGTGTGTGTGTGCATAAATTAACCTATATGAGCAAGAATTATAATCATACTCATTTTCATGGGTTTCTAAATATTTAGATCTGAAAGAGCTCTTTAATAAGACTCTTTTTTCTATATAAGGATTTGTATGTGTTCTTTATAACTCAAACTCTAGGGCACATTTTAAATTTACAACAAATTAATACAATTATACGTCAGAAAATTTAGTTGAATAAGTAAATCCAAAATGACTAATATTAACTATGACAGAGAGAATCTGAGCTTTTTAAAGTGTCAAAACACCAGTAGGGAATTGCCTGGCAAGTAATCTGGTTAAATATTGGTGAAAAATGAAGCTTGAGTTTTGGGAGACATTTTGTCATCTAAATCATTTCAGAAATCTTTCTTTAAATTACAGTAAAATGATTAATATGTCTTCTTCTTCTTATGTAAAAGTCTTTCTACAAAAAGTTTGGTAATTTTATAATGCACAAGTAGAAATAAAAGCTTTTTAATGGCAAACATCTACATATAAATTTAAAAAATAAAATAGTCTCCTCCCAAATCAAAAGATTATTCATTAACCTGATCATTCATTATTCATTCAGTTATTTATGTATTTCTTTCAACAAGCATTTACCAGGTACTTATAATATGTTTAGAAGTATGTTAGGTATCACACCATAACAATTAAAAACACAGGGCCCCTGTGTTCACATGGCTTGTATGGACGAGACAGGTTGATGTATAATAGGTTAAACATTAATTTCTATCTTCTACTACTCAGAGAAGAAATTCTGTGTTCAAGTAGAAAAAAATCATTATGCCATCACAAAGGGAGCAAAATGGACTGGCCGAACATTGGTACACGCCATCATGCAGTCGTCAGTAGCACTTTATAAATTGTGAAGTACTAAATAAATGTCTGACAGCAGGTTTTAAAATGGCACAAGAAACTGTGTTAGTGGCTGTAAAATGCACCCATTCACAGGACACAATTCTCCTCTCTAGATGACTATAATAAAATTATGCATCTTCTGTAATACGTGCGATTCTTACAGGGTTCTGAAATCCAACTAGCTGTGTGTGACTGCTTGGATTATTCACAGCTTCTTGGTTGCCTGCTACGGCCTCTGGAATTATGGTAGGATTCAAGACAGCTTTTTTCTCCTTTAGATTAAGAACCAACCCAAGTTCTGGCAAGGGTAAACATGAAGGTCTACTAAGGCCAAAAAGTGTGAAGTACAAGTCCACAGCACCACACCGTAACCTCCAGTCATGTGAAGTACCTAAGTAGCAAATAATAAAGAAATAAAATCAATATGCACATTATCTATAGACTAGCTGTTTCAGAACCTAAACACAGGAAATTTTATTTTTTTATTTTCATTTTTTTTCCCCGGAGGGAATTTTATAATTGGAAAAAAATTTATCACACCTTTCTTCTTAAAAAATGAATATGAGACATCAGCTACAACTCTAACATTCCAAAACCAGTATTTTCTCTGGCCTTAAATTTTTCTTTTAATTCTTTCTCCTCCATAATTATTCCACATTCATTCATTCTCTGTTCATCTGGTCTGATTCTCTTCATTAATGACCTATTAGAAAGCACTCCACAAGCCTTCACACACCCTTTTTGCTGAAACAAATTCTCCTATCTCTGGAACTTATTACTTTCAGGTTTTAAATATAGTAAGAAATCATACAACTATTTGAAATAACAAAATTCTAAACTTGGCTTATTGTACAGAATGAAAATATTTTGGTAAAAACTTTATTTGTATTATTGTACTAATTTAAAAAAAATACAAATACACAAACCACAGAAATAACAACAGGTAGTAAGCACGTACTTGACTTGAAAAAGACTAGGTGGGTCAAAAGTCAGTTTAAACTAGTTAAGAGATTTTCTTTAAATTTCTCAGTCTCCATTCTTTCATCTCTAAGTAAGGAGTTTTGATCTGGAATCATACCTTACCCCACAGCAATGACAGACCAGAGCACACTGGTATCAGGTTTTTTTCTACTTTCCTTTTCTCCCTAGTACAGCACTGCTACCAAATAGAACTGACTAGAAAAAGGAAATTTATCATCTAAGATTAGAAAATCTCTTTGGTTCCTGGTCAGAATTTTAAATAATCTGGAGAATTTAAAAGTGAACAGAAGGAATGTGGAAATTCTTCTCAGTAAGAAAACAAACTATAAATACTTAATTTTGCCTAAGAACTATAGTTTCAAAAGGGTACTATAATACACATACTTAAAAAGGAAAACATTTAGGACATCATAAATATTGAACTTTGTGTTTTTCAACAACAAATTATTAGACTAAGCAAATAATAATCTAATAGTGATTCTGGTAAGGCTTACTCTAACAGGTATGTAACTATTAATTACATGCAAAGGAAATCCGTATGGAGGAAATTAGTGCACTGTGCCGGCCAGTTTGCATGCTATATTGCTGGAAACAGCTCTCATCATTCCTATTTGAGACATTCTAGTTTTGCTATTGTGTGATATACGACATTAATAGAGACAAAGGGCAAAACCTCCTGAAGAGGTTTGTGTTTTTACATCAGACAAACTAGAAATGGAAAAAATGGAACACAGTGAAAGTAAAAATGTGACATTGGAAACCCATTTTCTGTCTCTGGAATATGCATATGTGGACACTTCAATGGCCGGATATCATATTTTTTGTAGACATTCAAAAAAATCCCCCACAAATCAAAAACAAAAACAAAAACAAAACAAAAGACTAGACTGGGCATCAGCAGACCCCATCTTCACCAAAAAGAAAAGAAAAGAAAAGAAAAATAGCTGGGCACTGTAGTGCATGCCTGTAGTCCTAGTTACTCGGGAGGCTGAAGAGGGAAGAAAGCTTGAGCTCAGGAGTTCAAGGCTGCAGGGAGCTATGATCATGCGGCTGCACTCCAGCTGGGTGACAAAGTGAGATCATACTCTAAAATTTTTTAAATAAATAATCTGTTTATTTAAAATTCTTAAGCAACTAGGAACACAGACTATATAATGTAAAAGATCCTTCTCTTTAAAAATGTTTGTGGCTCAGTGAGTAGGGCACCGGCCCCATATACCAAGGGTGGCAGGTTCAAACCCAGCCCCAGCTAAACTACAACAAAAAAGTAGCTGGGCGATGTGCTGGGCACCTGTAGTCCCAGCTACTTGGGAGGCAAGAGAATCGCCTAAGCCCAGGAGGTGGAGGTTGCTGTGAGCTGTGACTCCATGGCACTCTACCGAGGGCAACATAGCAAGACTGTCTCCAAAAAAAAAAAGTTTACTATCTTTTTGTGAAGGATTATTAATTTAAAAGGTGTATGAGAACTAGAAAAAACATTTTTGAGGACAAGTGAGGAAATACGAGTTATATACTGGGGTGGAGTGGGATGCTACTGTGGTTATGTAGGAGAACGACTTTACTCTCAGAGCATATACTGAAGTACAGGGTGTCCCAGAGGTTACCCAAGTTACCACACATAGGAGAATGAGAAATGGTAGCTAAATGTATGTTTTTTTTTTTAAACAAAATATCCATTATAAAATTTTGCAAAATATCTACATGTTGGCAACCTCTTTTTAAAGTTTTGTACTAAATATTTTGGACATACAGGTAGATTCAGCTTCAATTTCCTATGTATGGTGACTTTGGGACACTCTGTATTTTAAGATGAGGAACATAATATAATTTATTTTCAAATGCTTCAGAAAAAATGAGGGAGTGAATATACAGGGTGGCCATAAAGTGTGTGCAATTTAAAATTGCACATGAACTTCATGTTCAACTTTATATACAAAAAAAGAGAAGGAAAAGAAGATAAAGAATTAAGGGGAATGCATATGGTTATTCATGGAACGACTCATTAAATTTTTCTAAGCTTTGACATTTTTATTAAAAAATGCTGAAGATAAAAAAGTTACATGACAATAAACAAGAGAATGAGTTAAGACACCTGAAATGTGTATGAGTGAGTTTACATATAGAACCCTGTATGTGTATCTATTTTCAAAGCAAAACTGTTAGAAAGGTACTAGATTACCTCCCAGAATTTAAAGCTACCACATACGGCAGAGACCAGGCAGCCTGGAACCTTTAAAGTGTAAGTCTGAGAACCTTCTTTCTGCCATGTGTAGCCATTAAAGTGATTTAGTTACCAAGAGTCCCCAGTTTCTATACCTGATTTTATTTCTGTTGTGTCAACTATAAAGAGAAATATTTTAAGATGTAGGGTTTTTTTTTTTTTAATGTCTGGGAAAGTTCTCAGTCTTTTGTGTTAGATCCATGTCTCAAGTGTTACAACAGGGTTGTCAGCTTTCCTAGTACAGTCTTCTCTCAATAGAGAGTTTTCAGACTGTAAATCTGTTCTTCTTTAACACATTTTAAGAATTCAAACTAAGGCCAGGCAAGGTGGCTCACTCCTATAATCCCAGCACTCTGGGAGGCCAAGGTGGGTGGATCGCCTGAGCTCATGAGTTTGAGACCAGCCTGAGACAGAGGGAGATACTGCCTCTAAAAGCAACCAAGCAGGTGCCTGTAGTCCCAGCTTCTAGGGAGACTGAGGCAAGAGAATCCCTTGAGCCCAAGAGTTTGAGGTTGCTGTGAGCTATGATGCCGCAGCACTCTACCAAGGGCACAAAAGTGAGTCTCTGTCTCAAAAAAAAAAAAAGAACTTAAACTAAATAAGTTCATTTGGTTAACCTGTATATTTTACCTGATAAATCATTTTTCATGAAGTTTGCTATTGATTTTACATGACTGTTAAGATTTTAGAAAGTGCTTTAGATGCATAGTTTCAAATGAATCTTTAAATTTAGATGCATTGTTTTTCAGCTAAAATAAAAAGCGTAGTTTTAGAAATTAGAGTTTACTTTATATGGGAATGACTTTTTAAGACTTCTTTTCTTATATTAAGAAAGAAAATGTAAAACAGCCTATAGTGACAACATCCAGAAACAACAATTCATAATGTTTGGTTTGCTGTTTTATGGTTGTTTCTATGCATGTATATAGTTTTACTTTGATAGGAATAATTGTTAACTATGTTTGCTTTAGATTGGGTAAGATTATTTTAAAGATGCCATATGGAATTATCCTCCTGTTTTGGAATCAAGCATGCCTACAATCACAATGTGTTAGTTCTTCAAGAGATGCACTTCATAATAGGAGAACAGGAACTTGGTATTAAATTGTGAGTCAATTAAGCAGCCACTAATGACATGGGCAGGACCAGTTGTTTTCCAACATTTTAGAAAGAAGATAAAGTGACACACTCCAAACTCTAAGTATTTGCATGAATACCCACTGTTCTCCCACCATCTAGCTGTAATAGCTCTGTTTATTTTTCAGCAAAATGTATTTCAGCCTAGCTTTATATTGAATCTTAAATAAACCAAAGCCATATCACAATTTCAACTTACTAGAGACACAGGGTAAATTTTCCTTAAATATACATGTGTAACATTTCTAACCATCCAATTAAAGAAAAATGGAATGACTTACATAAAAGGAAATACAAATAGCTAAAATATATGAGAAGCATAATGATAATATCACTATGCTAGTCTAACTTTTTGAGTATTTAATATGAGGCACTGCGCTTTATAAATACTAACTCATGTAATTATCAGTTTGTAGAAGTAGATATAATTGTCATCTGTATTTTATAAACCAAAAAACTTTAGACTAGCCACATAATGAGTAAATAACCAAGAGTCAACTCTTAGCCAACTGGTTCTACAGCTAGCATTCCTAAGCATTGTTATCTTGCCTCTAGACCTCACTCAAATAATGTAAATTAAAACTATGATGAAAGTCCATGATCTCCAAGGTAGAAATCAAGAAACAGTGTGTATTTAAAAAAAAAAAAAATACAAGGTATATATTATTCTATTTATACTATATGACCCTGGGAGGATATACAAGAAATTAGTTACCTCTGGGAAAGGCCAGTAGGTGGCTATGGAAAAGAGGTCAGAAGATCTATTTTTCACTCCTTTGTGACTTTCTGTCATAAAAATAATAATACTTTTCACGTTCATGTTTATAGCGAGCCCTTCAATCATTTGACACTTTAACATAATTAATATTTTTGTTTTCTCAACCACCTGTGGAGCAAAGTGAGTATATCCTTAAATGTTATCACAGCCACCACCGTGAAGGTGTAACATTCTACTTAAAAAAAAAAAAAAAAAAAAAAAAAGACAAAAACTTTTAACTTTAGTTCTTAAATGCTACTAAATTGAAAGCCTGCTGTAAAATAGAAATACTCTAACAATAAAAATAATTGTTTTAATCATTGCTCTCTCACCAGAATTCATAAGTTTCCAGAGTTGATCTACCAGGGCTTCATTGCATAAGGGAGACTCCATGTTCTTAGTAAATGGTGGGTTCTTAGTCAACATGTTTAGAATCTTATGCCTGAAAGATCAAAAACAAATTAAATTGTTGCTGAGCCTTTGCTGACTGATGCTATGCGTAGAAGATATCATAAAGTATTTAAAAATTATCTCTAATTCTTCCTTCCTATTTTATCATTTGATATTTGCAGAAAAAATATATATAACCATTTTTTAAACATATATTTAACCAACTATGTGCAGGCATCATGCTATGTGATAGACATACAGCCACAAAAGAATAAATAAGCCCTCTGTTTTGGGAGCTATATTCCAGTGGGGGAGACAAAATTTATCAAATATCCAAACAATAAAATTAATACTTATGTATAGGAAGTATTTATGTACCTACATATAGAAAGAACTAGAGGAGTTTTATAGCCTTTTATGACGTGAGAGACTTGATGTAGTCCAGGGGAATCAAGGGAGCATCCTAGTAGAAGTGATTTAGCTCTAAATTATAAAGGAGTAAGTGATTATAGGTAATTACTTTCCTTCCCTCCTGACTATAAGGTTTCCCCCTAAATCCTTCACAGCTTTACCTAACTCTTCCCCAGTCTGTAATTCTGGATATATAAAATAATGAAAACAGAAAATTTGGGAAAAATTTGGAAACATAATGGAAAATTACTTTTAAATTTCAATTCCATTCCTATTGAAGGCCATTTTTACCATATGAGTTTTTAAAATCAACCCACGGCCACAAAAATAAAATATCTGAGTTTGGGGCAAGAGAGGAGACTGCCACTGACTTTGAGTGAGATATGAGGTTTTACCTATCTTTTAAAGTTAAGAATTCCATCCTGGCTCAGAGCCTGTTGCTCAGTGGCTAGGGTGACAGCCACATACACTGAAGCTGGTGGGTTCGAATCTAGCTGGGTCTGCCAAACAACAATGACAACTACCACCAAAAAGTAGCTAGGCATTGTGGCAGGTGCCTGTAGTCCCAGCTACTTGGGAGGCTGAGGCAAGAGAATCGCTTAAGCCCAAGAGATTGAGGTTGCTGTGAGTTATGATGCCACAACACTCTACCCAGGGTGACAGCTTGAGACTCTGTCTCAAAAAAAAAAAAAAAAAAAAAGAATTCCATTCAATTAACAAAGCCAAAAATAGCAGTTCTATATGATGGTTAACTAATGAATTTTTTTAAAAAGTAACAATAATGAGGACAAAAGAGAAAAGGAGAGACTTTCTATTCAAAATATAAAAAATAGACAAAAGCAAAAGTAAACTAGATGTCCAAGAACATCAAAATTACACACCCAGGGTAAGTGCTGTGTACTAACGCTTCTATTTTGTGACCATTTGTTGTCATTGAACATTTTTAAAAACACGTCGAAATTTTTTATAATAATTAAGTATAAATTATGTGCTGGACGATATTAAGTGGAGCCCAAGAGGTTCTCTAATGGTGATATAAATGAACCATGTTAATTAAGAAGACAATAAGCGAAAAATAATCATAAAATCAATCTTAAAATAGATTTTGGTTCAGATTTTAAAAAACAGTGCTCTGAAATTTGAATGAATCTTAACAGTGCCACAAGAGTATTTAAGAAACCATTATTCATAAATATATTCATGTATTTATAAATATAGTAACTTCAAATACTGCAAAAAATTTTGATTATCTACTAAAAATGGGAGAGATCTTGGCTAGGCACTGTGGCTCATGCCTGTAATCCTAGCATTCTGGGAGGCTGAGGTGGGTGGATTGCTTGAGCTCTGTAGGAGTTCAAGACAGCCTGAGCCAGAGTGAGATCCTGTATCTAAAAAATAGCTGGGCACTGTGGCGGGTGCCTATAGTCCCAGCTACTCAGGAGGCTGAGACAAGAGAATTACTTGAACCTGAGAGTGTGAGGTTGCTATGAGTTGTGACACCATGGCACTCTACCTACGGTGACAAAGTAAGACTCTTCTTAATAAAAAAAAAAAAAAGAAAAAAGAAGACAGAGATCTGAAATATATGCATGCTAATATTAGTTCTGTTTAATGTAATTTAAAAGCAAATGAATACATGACAAACTTTATAATGTGTACTGTAATTATACTTACATTCAAATGTATAAGCTCCATTAGATAAAGAGATAAGGCTGTTTTCCTGTCTGCCTTCCTTTAATATGAATATATAATTAAAAATGGGTGATTATGGCTTGGTGCTCACAGCACAGTGATTATGGCTGTAGCCACATGCACCAAGGGTGGTGAGTTCGAACCCAGCCCGGGCCAGCTAACCATCAATGACAACTGCAACAAAAAATAAATAGCCGGGCATTGTGGTGGGCACCTACAGTCCCAGCTACTTGGGAAGTTGAGAGAAGAGAAATGCTAAGCCCAAGAGTTTGAGATTGCTGTGAGGGGTGATGCCACAGCACTCTACTGAGGGCATCATAATGAGACTCCGTCTCAAAAAAAAAAAAAAAAGGTGATTATGAGATTTGTTTTTCCCCATGTCAGCCTAACCTTAGTATACCAATCACAAAGCCTAGTTATTTAAAACACAATCCAGGGTGGCACCCATAGCTCAGTGGGTAGGGTGCTGGCCATATACACTGAGGCTGGTAGGTTTGAACCCACCCGGGCCAGCTAAAACAACAATGACAACTGCAATAAAAAAATAGCCAGGTGTTGTGGCGGGGGCCTATAATCCCAGCTACTTGGGAGGCTGAGGCAGGAGAATTCCTTAAGCCCAAGAGTTGGAGGTTGCTTGAGCTATGACGCCAGGATACTCTACCCAGAGCAATAACTTGAGACTATCTCAAAAAAACCAAAAACCAAAAAACACATGCACACAATCTAGATTATAAATCAAGAACTATAAAATATTAACAGTGAGATATGCACAAAGTTTACATATATAATAAGTATTACTTAAAACACTGAAATGAAAGGTGACTTAACCAGAAGTCATTGTTTCAGAACCCATTGAAAATCTACCATTGGTCAAAAAACAAATTCTCCTTTAGTGTACCATAATGTCTCATGTGGATTTCTCATACCTAGATGCCTTTCAGTGAAGTTATTTTATGTCAATTAGAAGAAAATTATCTGTCAATTGATACAAGAAGTTGAGCAAGACAATTAAGGTATCTAAGTCTATGGTCTTGTTTCTAATTGAGATAGCTGTAAGTTAATTTCTATCTCTAAAATTCTATTCTATACTAGAATATATTCTAATATTAAAACAAATGAATTAAAAATATGAGTGCTTGCTATGTGCAAAAGAAACAAAAATTGTCAGTTTTAATCCTATCTGAATGTACTATAAACATTGTACTTTGTAAAAGAAAGCATCCGAAATGAAGGAAATAACTAAAAAGGGTACAAAAATGAATGTAGTTACTACACCAGGATTTGAATTCTATTTTCCTCTTTTTCTAAATTTTTAATGCTACCTTTTCTAAAAAATCTAAGTCTAATGAAAACTGAAACTTTATATGAGATAGAAAAGAACTAATGACATGTCCCAAAATATTGTTTTTATTTTTAAAATAGTGAAATCAATCAATAGAGAGGGTTTATTATTTAAGAGACATAAGGTATCCTCCACATTTACTACAAACTATTACATAAGGTTTTCTCTAACTTGTAATAGAAATCATACTTGAGATTATAGTGTACAAACTTTATCAAATATATTTTGCAAATTTCTTTCCAAAAAACAAATTTCTTTCTAAAGACAAATCAAATTGAAAAATGAAAAAGGATATGAATAAATGCATAACATATTCTCCTATTCTTAAAAATCATCAACAATTGTTCCATGTATAATCTGAAGTTATTTAATTCACTTTAGGGCTTACAATATATTATAGTATATAAACTAACCTTACATAGGGCACAGGGTCATTCTGAATCATATTAAGTAGCCATTGCAGTTCTTCATAACTCCTGTCCACTGAAAATAAAAAAAAGAAAATATATTTGTTGTTAATTATAACAAATTAAATAACAAATAACAAGTGAGAAGCTAGAAGTTTACAATTGATATTTAGGACTCTGCCTTGGTTGAATTTTCAGAGTTAGGCTATAGGCAAGCTCTTGTATTTACTTAATTTCCTGACCCTTTAAATCACAATGATAGCTCTGAAACAATCATGTAAAGTATAAAAATGGGAGGGAATCCAATTTTAAGAACTCATTTCTAAGAATGGTTAGGGAACCCAATTAGGCTTGAATATTCTTCCTCTCAATTTGTAAGATTTCCAAAGACAAAAAAGTCACTTCCTCCCAGTGCAGCAGCCCTTTTCAACCCTGCCTGCTCTGTTTTCTTGAAGGCATACTTTCACTTTCAATCTTTCAATTAAAAAGTCACTTTGGGGCGGCACCTGTGGCTCAAAGGTGTAGGTGCCAGCCCCATATGCTGGAGGTGGCGGGTTGAAACCCAGCCCTGGCCAAAAACTGCAAAAAAAAAAAAAGCCACTTTGCTTGGTTTACATGGTACATCATCCTGAAATTCTTTTCCCAAAGATCACCAAGAATATGGAAAAACCTCCACTTGGAAGCCAATAACTATAGTGCCATGTGCATAATTTTTACATCATTAAATGGCTCCAACCAACGGCAAATGCAACATAAAAACTTATAATTAATTATGAGCCCTATATTAGAGATAACTGGACAAAATTTCTGTAAATAAAATTGTGTTTCTAGACATTTAAATTATGACACCCACTCAAACTGTTTTTGCTCAAGTGATTTCTTCCATTTAAAGAGCTGTCTTAACTTTCCAGCATAATATAAAAGGCAATTACAAAAACAGTACTATGCATATCATTCACAGAAAATGACTAAAATAGCTATTTTCATTCACCTTTTCAACAAGTTTTGCTTTTATGATTTGAAATGCTTTGTCTTCAGAATTTTATTCCCAATATTTTCATTTCTTCCATTTTCTAATTTGAATATTTAAACAAAATTTAAGACAAAGTAAAGTCTGGATTCATAGCTCAAATTTAAACACCAATCAATCAAATTATGCCTATCAATTAGCAATCTTTTGGAAATCATACTATTTCATTTCATGTAGTACTAATTCATGAAATTTTCTTCATATTTATGAGACATTGAATATCATTCATATATATTAGGAAAGAAGTTGAAAACACTAGCATATTTTGTAGATCTCAAAACTTCTAGATTTCATGAATTGGAAAGACCCTGAAGCAAACCTGGAAACAAAAAATTACATTATTTTTTCCTGCCAAGAAATTCATTTAACAATAACAATAGAACCACTATTTTCACAATTATTTCTTACAAGCAAGGCTATTTTAACCATCAATAAAAAAGAACAAATGTTATGGCCCTTCCAGAACTTAGGGCAGTAACACATACATATTATACTGGTAGTACTCTTCCTTTACTTTCTGAGTGTAAACAAGTATTTGTACTAAAATTTACAGATAATTACCAAGATTGGGGTATACGTTCCTCTACCTAACATTTTTAAATAAACCAGTGTCTACTAAAGAACATCCCTCACCCCTTCCTCTCTTTTCCAAAGTCAGACAAGAGGTGTAGCATGCTTTAACTCAGTGGTTCTCAACCTTCCTAATGCGGAGACCCTTTAATATAGTTCATGTTGTGGTGACCCCCAACCGTAAAATTATTTCTGTTGCTACTTCATAACTGTAATTTTGCTACTGTTATGAATCGTAATGTAAATATCTGATATGCAGAATGTATTTAGGCGACCCCTGTGAAAGGATCGCTCAACCCCCAAAGGGGTCACGACCCAGGGGTTGAGAACTATTGCTTTAACTTATTTATGCTTCTCCTATTTTAGAGCTTTCATCTGGAATTTTAGATGTAGAGTACATTTACATATTCCTTCTACTTGTATGCTGTTTCTAAAAAAGTTACTTTTTAAATATGGACTAAATTTAATACACCAATTTAACAAATTGTTCATTTCATATTTTTGCCAATCTTGACTCACATGCAGGTCAGCTGAAAATTATGCCTGGGAGTTGTTTTGTTTTCTCAAAGTAAATTATTTCAGGTTAATGTGAGGATACAAACAACCAAGTCAAAACATTTGATTTTGTTAGGACATAACCTCCTGAGGTTATGTCCCACACACAAAAGGTGTGCTAAGTACCCCCACCCTGTGCCCATTCAGTGATAAGCACCCACCCCCCACCCCCCCAGCTTGAATTGAAATGAGATTTTCTCCTATGTGGGTTAGCATCAGATCATTTACTGGCTTCATATTAGTACTGAGTACACTGGATAACTGATTTTTCATTCTTGTGGTATTTTACTAAGAAGAATGTGTTTAAATTCCAACCAGGATATTATAAAAGATGTGACGTCACCATCTTTTTTAATGACCAGATCCTATTCCATGGTATGCATATACCACAATCTGTTAATCCATTCCTGAGCTAATGGGCATTTATGTTGTTTCTGTGTCTTGGTGACTGTAAATTGAGTTGCGATAAATAATCTACTGGGAGTTGTTTTTAAGAATGATATACAGGACATGTAGCTATAATTCCACCAGGCTACATGAGCAACAACAACTTAGCAAGGTAGAGTCTTGGATCATAATTTTCCCTAAATACTAATAGCCATTTATTTGCTCACTGTCTTGTCTCTTCATATTCAGAACAATTCAGAGGCCACACTATTCTTTTACCTTGTATGATAATCTGTTTCTGATGTTCCCAAGAACTTACACATTTCTCCTTAACCTTAAAAATTAAAGTTTCAGCAGATCTACCTTAGGTCACCTCCACTCATACCCTTTCAAAGTATTCTATTATTTCTTATATTACTGCTTTCTTCCACCTGCTCTATTCTTCGTGATTTTTTCTTTCTTTACATTTTCATCTCTTTATAGTTCTCTTCTGAATTTCTGAAAATGTTTTGAGTATGTATTTGTATGTGGGTTCTCTTACCTAGTTTTTGGTCTTACCTATGTATGTGTTTTCTACCTTATGAAGCCTTGTCTAGTTACTGAAGTTCCTATTTATGTTTGTTACCCTACTTTCACAAACACAAATTTTTATACAAGTATAAGATGATTTCCTTAATCCTTCTTAAAAATTTCCCCCAAATCTTCCCCTATTCCTAAAAGTAATATGCAATTAAAGATACCAGATGATACACTGACTTCTTGGAAAGGCCAAAAATATCTGTAATTTTATTCTTTTCCTTCATTTTTTATTACATGAATTCTACATTTACCAAAGATTAGTTCTAAACTGGCAAATCAAGAATTTAAAACAAAAATATCTTTACATACTAGGAAAACCCCAATAACCAAGATTGGCTTTAAAAGTCTTTCTAAAATGGAAAATCCCAATAACCCAAACTGGCTTTAAGAGTAAATCATTCTTTCTAAAATGATATGAGCACCTTAATTTCTAAACTATTACCTTTAGTATAATCAACGACTGCTTCCAAAGCTGCTATCCTAATGTCCACAAAGTGGCCATATTCAGCATAAGATTTAAAAAGAGCTGGATCACTTGGTACATGCCCATTCTTCTGAAGCACCCGAATAGCTCTCAAACAACTAGGGGAAAAAAATTATTTAAATTAATTACTTTCATTAAGGCATTATGAATCAAATTTGTTTAGCAGTTGTTAAGAGATTCATCTGTGGCAATAAATTTAAAAGCTGATGTGAGCTGAATCCACCTTCAAGTCTGTAATAGTCATGCAACACATAAAGACTTCTCAATCAGTGATGGACTGTGTATATAATGGTGGTCACCCAGTAAGCTAAAATTCACTTATTACAGAAAAATTTAGTGCAGCCTAAGTGTGTACAGTGTTTATAAAGTCTACAGTAGTATACAGTAATGTCCTAGGCCTATACACTGACTCACCATTCACTCACTGCAGTAGCTTCCAGTCTTACAAGCTCCATTTAAGGCAAGTGCCCTATACAGGTATATCATTTTGAATCTTTTATACTGTATTTTTCCTATACTTTTCTTATGTTCAGATGGATTTAAATACACAAATACTTAACCAATGCATTACAACTGCCAACAGTATTCAGTACAATAACATCCTGTACAGCAGGGGTCCTCAAACTTTTTAAACAGGGGGCCAGTTCACTGTCCCTCAGACCGTTGAAGGGCCAGACTGTGGGCCCCAGGATGAGTCAGTCTGCTGCTAAGCAGGACAGGTAGCGGTGGCAAAAACACCGGGCGGTCCAGATAAATGTCCTAGGTGGGCTGTATGTGGTCCACAGACCGTAGTTCGAGGACGCCTGCTGTACAGGTTTATATCCTAGGAACAAAGGCTATATAGCCTAGGCATGTAGCAGAATGTATCATCTAGTTTTGTGCTAGTATACCTAATGATATTTACACAAACAATGAAATCACTTAACTCAATTTTCAGAATACATCCCTGTTAAGTGCTGCATGACTACATTAAATTTTTGTAATCACGATAAAAGTTCAAAATTAATAAATGTCTAAATCCTATTAAAACAAATTTTAAAACTCTAAGTTTCAAGCATCATTATAATTGGAATACTCTTCAGAAAAAAGTACTTAGCATAAAATATAATTTAAATAAAATATTTTCTCCAAATGTTTTAGTAATATTTCACTATATAGGTCAGCGGTTCTCAACCTGTGGGTCATGACCCCTTTGGACTGTATGAAAAGGCTGTGGCATTAGGAAGGTTGAGAACCACTGATATAGATGGAAGGTAAAAACTATTTATGTTTGAATTGGTAATCAACTTTTAGCAAACTCCTAAAGAAGAAACAGAACTTTTTGATAGCCATATACAAAGAAGCTGATAGAAGTAAAACATCTTTTTAAAAGCTAAGGCTCGGTGCCCGTGGCACAGTGGTTACAGCGCCAGCCACATACACTAAGGGTGGCGGGTTTGAACCCAGCCCAGACCAGCTAAACAACTGCAACAAAAAAATAGCCAGGCCATGTGGCAGGTGGCTATAGTCCCAGCTACTTGGGAGGCTGAGGCAAGAGAATCGCTTAAGCCCAAGAGTTTGAGGTTGCTGTGAGCTGTGATGCTACAGCACTCTACTAAGGGTGACATAGTAAGACTCTGTCTCAAAAGAAAAAAAAAAGAAAAGCTAAGAAGGAAAATGTTTATACTATATTTAATGAAATAAAAGAATAGACAGACATCAGAAATAATGCCTTTAAATAATTTCTGATGACATGAGAAAGTGTTTATAATACAAACAATTAAAAAATAATACATACAATATAATCTCAAGTAATTAAATATTTATATAGTTACAGAGGGAAAAAAGTTTAGAAAGATATTTTCCAAATATTAATAATTTATCTGTGCTTAGTAGCTCAGAGAGAATTTTAGTTTCTTTTACTTTACTATATTTCCCAATTTTCAATGAGAATAAAATTTGTTTTTTTTTTAAAAGACAGAGTCTCACTTTGTTGCCCTAGGGTAGCGTGCCATGGCGTCACAGCTCATGGCAGCAACCTCAAACTCTTGAGCTCAAGAGGTCCTCTTGCCTTAGCCTCCCAAGTAACTGGGACTATACGTGACCACAACGCTGAGCTATTTTTAGAGACAGGGTCTCTCGCTCTTGCTCAGGCTGGTCTCGAACTCCTGAGCTCAGGCAATCCACCTGCCTTGACCTTCCAGAGTGCTAGAATTAGAGGTATGAGCCACCAAACCTGGCTGAGAATAAATTTCTTTTGTAGTTATAAAGAAAAAATTAAAAAAATGTAATTATACCTAACAGTGATGGTATGTCTATAACTTGGAAGAAGTTTTTCCATATTCAAAAACCTGGTGATTTCTTCAAGAATAAGTCGCACATCAGGATTTAAATTATCCAAAGTTCTAACTTCATTATTCACACTGACGGCAGGTGTAACAGAGTTGGCCAGGGCATCAATCATTTCTGCACGATAATAGTTATCTGAAAACTAAGCCAAAGAATAATTAAGAAAAAAATCATAAAATTCACTCTTCTGGTCAAAATTAATGAAATAAAATGTAACTTAAAAATCTAATTTATCTGAAAATACAAGCAATACTATTCAATTCTGTCCTTGGCAAAGAGTCACTATGGAAAATAGAGTGAAAGAGATTCACTAACCAGTGACAGATTCCTGACTGAAGATTTACTACATGGCAGTACTCTGCTAGTCAACTAAAAGGAGACTGCAGCCCACATCCTGCTGCGACAAAGCTTCAGACCAGCTACTGAATGCTCTAATACAAAACCCACAACCAAGGATCACCAGATATTTGAAGTAAGCATCATCACAAAAAATATAAAGACTAGAACAAACAGAAAAAAAGCAACTTGGAAGAAAGAGAATTCAAGAAAAGAAAATCCTAGACGATAAAAAAAAGTTCAAAACTATTTTGAATACTGAGAAATAACCAATTAAGGTGTGTCTTCCAGTAGCCTAACATTATTTTAAAAAGAAAGAAACATGCAGAGAATTGAATCCAATTTAATTGAAATATAAAATATAAAACAAACTCTGCCAAAATTTTGAGCAAAAAACAGATAGAAAACAGAAGGAAAAGCATAAGGAAATTGGAGGGCCAGTACAGAAGACATAACTATGAATAGTAGGAGTCCTGCCAGAGAAGCAGAAACTGAGAAGGAAATGGTTAAAAAACCAAAATCTAAATCCATGCCCCTGTTAATTCCCAGAAAAGCAGTTTATTAAAAGGTAATCTGGATGTGGCTTGACTTAACTCAGCAAACTAGATGCCCTGGCCTGGGAATATGAACAGAAAAGAGTGAATTAGTTCTATTAGTCATCTTAAAAATATTTTGTGCTCACACCAACTGCCAGGCAACTGGAAGAGGAAGACCTGTCCCTTTTTGACTTTCATTGTGGAGGCAGAGCCTCACATACTAATGTGGAGTCTCTAAACATTTTTTGGTTCAGATACTGGGCAGGAAAAACCACAAGGCACATTAATAACAAACAAAACCAAAGGAAAATAACCTGAAAGTGTTCACTATGGATAAAGTTTTGCTTTCAGACTACTCCAATGACCGAAAAATTAAGCACTGTAGCTTCTATCTACTGGAGCCCAAGAGAATGATCATGATTTTCTTGTTTTTACCATGCTAATTTTATTTCAACACAGTTGCATTTATCAACATTTTCTTTCACGGTATCTGAGCTTTGTTTCATACCATTCAGAGATTATTCAAATCATGTCTACAGGTTTGCTTCAAGTACTTTTTACTAATTTGTTATCTCCAATAACTACTTTACCAACAAAATTAAGAGCACCCTTTTTTATATCTAAACATTTAGGTAAGAGAATGGATATAGAAATGAAAAATGAGAAGTAGACCTGAGTAGGGAAACCAAAACATTTAATTTTTATCCTCAGACCACATCCAGTTCTCACAGAAACTGTTAACAATGATTGAACAAACTTGATTATCTCTCACCCCCAGGTTATAAGAGACAAACTGAAGAAGTAATTTGTGGAACACAACCAAGGAGCGTCACGTAGTAGAGCAAAAATTCCCATTCTCTCCCACCCCCCAAATCCATATACTACAGCCAAGAATGATAAGTGTTTTTAATGACAATCCTTTGGTATCAATTTTGCACACCTTAAGATTGTAGAGAAATTTCATACACATACATGAGGCCTGTATGCAAAGTATCCAGCCATTGTTAATAAAATGAAAACAGTTTGCTCGACACTGATGTAACCCAGCAACGTAGAGAGTGGACTGGGGCCGGACACAGTGGCTCATGCCTATAATCCTAGCACTCTGAGAAGGGGAAGCGGGTGGACTGCCTGAGTTCACGAATTCAAGACCAGCCTGAGCAAAAGTAAGACCCTTCTCTATTAAGAAAAAATAGGAAAATGGACTGGCATGTGCATGCATGAACAACGATGACTTCTCTGTACTAGTCAGTGGGTGCTAGAGCCGTTGAGAGAGCGGGTGTACTATGTGGCCGTCACATTCAAAATGACTAAGTAGAACAACAAATCTGCATCAAATTTTGTGTTAAGCTTTAAATTAACATTCCTCTGTGGAAACTATTCGGGTGATTCAGAAGCTTTTGGGAATCATGCAATGAAGACGCTGCAAATAAAAGTGTGACATGAATTCTTCAAAGATGGTTGAGAATCTGTTCAAAGTGATCAATGTTCTAGAGTGCCTCAAACACGCAGAACATGTGAGAATGCTGAAAGTGAACCGGCTGCCCTTAACAAACGCCAGCAGCTGGCAGTGAGGAGAAGTGTACGGGCTGCCCTTGCCAGAGATCAGCAGCTGATAGTACAAAGGCTAGAAGCATTCTAGGGACTCCAAAAACTACCGGCCACCCTTAACAAAGATCAGCAGCTGACAGTGCGAAGGCTCCAAGCAATCCAGGGACTCCAAAAACTACCGGCTGTCAACAAAGACCAGCAGTTGACAGTGCAAGAGCTAGAAGCGATCCAGAGATTCCAAAAACTACTCCGTCCAGGATTTGATGCAGGCTCTTGGCATGAATCCTGTGATGGAAAATGAATTCTGTGCTACCAATGAACCCTTGGCAGGAAACCGAGGGCAGAGCTGCACGACTGGATGCACTCTGTAGGCCATGTGCCTTGTTTGTCACTTGCTGGAGGAAATATACCAAGTATGTACTCTAAACTGCTATGAAAGTAGAAGAAACATCATGCTGTATTTGCTAATGAGTTGCTCCAAACAGCTACCAATGAACCCCATTTCCTCAAGACAGCCAGAACTGGAGATGAATTGTGGGTGGATGGTTATGACCCAGTAACCAAAGCCCAGTAGTCCCAATGGAAGTTGCCAGGTTCTCCACACCCAAAGACAATCCAGTAATATATATGAATAAGAAAAGATGAATACAAGTCACATTTGAGGACCTCTTATAACTGTAAAAGTCACATGTGACTTGGTATTACAAATTTAATACAGTTTTTGTGTGACCTGGTATTACAAATTTAATACAGTTTTTCTTTGCTTTCTTAAAATATACATACCTTCTTTTGCATCCTCTCTATATAAAGTATATAGTAACTGGCCTAGAAAGTTTACAGATAGGATAGAGAAGAAGTTCTCAGAATCATTCAAGGGAGTGTTTTACACACACACACCCCTGAATTGAATATATCTTCTGATTCAGTAAGCTTCCACAAATTTAATACATATGACAGAACTGAGAACCATGGACAACAAGAGGGTAAACTGGACTACCTTTCCAATTTCATCAATTCTTATAATTCTATAACTTTGTGGAAGAAAAACATTCAAAGTGAAATAAAAGCACAAGAAACAATGTTACAAAACAATAAAATTAATTAAAATAAAAAATGTAGAAAAAGCACTTATAGTACCAAGAATATATGCAAATATTATACCATTTACATGAGGGGCATAAGTATCTGTAGACTTTGGTATCTGAGGGGGGTCCTGGAACGAATCCTTCATGGACACTGAGAAACAACTATCCCAGGAAGTCGTGTGTACTTCCATTGTGCAGCAATTACCACATGTGACTATTAACTGTTTACTTGTCTGACTCTCCTACGAGGCTGCATCCTTGTGGGTCCAGAATTAGACTACTCTATACAGTAGTTTTTCAGTAAATGTTTAATGAATAAATGAAATTCCGGAAGACATCAACCATCTTTTCTTTCTGTTTAACACGGTACACTACCTAGCAGAGCATATATTCTCAAAAACATTTAATGACTGTTAAATTGGTAACAAGAAAGGTGAGATAACTTTCAAAGCATGACACTAATAACTATTTGCTAAATAAATGAATAAAACCACACAATGATAAAAAAAAAAATTCATCAATGGACAAGTTAATCTCAATTGGGAACTATTTTCTGAGCATCATTTGGTAAAATAAAAACAAAATTGCTTTGTAAGACTTAACCAAGAGAAATATTAGCTGGATCCCCCAAATCTGATAGACTACTATCTCCACACTACAAGAGACCTAGGAACATTCAAAAACCAATTAATCTCGGTTTTTATCTACTGGTTATCTTAAAAAAATCATGTTTGTATGTCTCTCTCCTTAGAAGTTTCCAGTACACGGACTCAACAGTGATTCTGTAGATTAAAAGTATCTTTAAAAATAAAATATAACTGGATGGTCCTATAATATTAAAAAAAACACCTTACCTTATTTTTCCTGTTGTCATTATACTTGATTAAATCTAAAATAAATGTTAATACTTCTTTGGGACAGAGGTTATGAACATCTCTTAATAAAGCCATTGCAACTGGCATAGTCTACAAAAAAAAAAAAAAGAGACTTATTTTAAGCACATAACCCAACTCTTCCATTTTCCTTACTATAATCCATTAAACTATACAGATAAAAAAGTTATTATGTAGTTAACATAGGTACTGGAGAGTGTTATACCCTATGCCCCACCCTCTCCTACTGAAAATATGTTGTCTCAAAGCATCTAACAAAAGAAAAGAGCTGGGCAGGAAACCAAGGGCAGAGCTGCATGACTAGACACATTCTGCAAGCCATGTGCCTTGATTCTCATTTGCTAGAGGATATATACCAAGTATGTAATCTAAACTGTCTAAATCCACTTCTGTGTAGATATAATGGAAAGGGTATGAATTTTAGCTATAGAAGACTAGTATTCAACTCAGGCCCTACTACCTACTAAACTAGATGTTAGTAAGCTAGTTGCTTACTTAGAAGCCTCACTTCCTAACAACCAGCTTTAGGATTAAATGACATAGTAGCTGGAGTCATGTGGCATATGGTAGAGCATTATCATTAGTCTTAGAACACACTGATTCTCCTACTACCCAATCCTCAATCCAAGGAGAAATGGTACTGAAATCTAGCCTAACTTTCCCCTTTCCAAATTTTCAGAGGCAACTTTTCTAAGTAGAAACATGACTCATATATAGTGATAACTATCAGTAAAACAAAGCCAACTAAACTCTAGGCAGAACTACAGATGAGTAGAAACCTTAGTCCTTAGGACGTGAGGAGATATGGACTATCCCCTCTTCTTATTCAACTATAACCTCTAAATTGGAGGTCAGAAAGGAGAATGGATGGCTCATTTGCTTGCCTAAAGAAACAGAAAAAATAGAAGCAACAGTAGTCAATGTTAATGCTATAAGAACTGTGAGAAAGGCTCTTTTCCATAGAAATATGAGTCCTATGCCAGTCCTGCCCTTTTGGGACTCAAGTTTGATTTAGGTACCAATCCTCCCTCTCTCGTTCCTGCCCACTAGAAGTATTATACAAAAGGGGAATTGGTCTAGAAAGATTGACTTTGTAGCTTTTTTAACTACAACTTACAAGAAAAAATATATTTTATAACTCAACCTAACACACACACATACACACATACACTTTACATATAATGTATACAAACTAAAAAATAAAATCTAAAAAGCCTTATATTTACCCTCATCACCAATGAAGCATTGAGATACTGCCTATTTTGTCTTCTTTTATTTAAAAAAATAAACAAAACTTCTAAACAGATTTCATGACCCACTCACTAATGGTTCACAATTCCAATTTGAAATACTGATCTAATGTTTATGGAAGCACAATGGCATAATAAAAGAGATATATTAGGTAGACACAGAAATTAACTTGTTTCCATATCAAAATTAGTAAAAGGGCAATACAGACATTTCAGTACTATCTAATGTTCAGTTCTTAAAAATAAAATAATAGGTGGTGGTGCCTATGGCTCAATGAATAGGGTGCTGGCCCCATATACCTAGGGTGGCAGGATCAAACCTAGCCCCAGCCAAACTGCAACAAAAAATAGCCAGGCGTTGTGGCAGGCACCTGTAGTCCCAGTTACTTGGGAGGCTGAGGCAAGAAAATCGTCTAAAGCCCAAGAGCTGTAGGTTACTGTGAGTTGTGATGCCATAGCACTCTACCAAGGGTAACAAAGTGAGACTCTGTCCCTAAAATGATAATAATAATAATAAAATAAAATAATAGGATGCCACAGACTTCTTTGATAACTCTGATACTACCTTTACCCCAAACCTGGATCATCCTAAATTTGTTCTGCTGATAAATTTACTTTAAGTATATCATGACTTCCACTCTCAACAGACACCCAGGATTACTGCTGGAAAATTCTTTTACTTTTTCCTCCAGCATACGGAAATTTCAACTTGCCTAGAACCTTCCTCAACATCTTTATCTTTTCATTTGTTTTTAATTTGCACTCCACCTAAGAAAAAGGTATGTTCTTATCTTTTCTAAAATGTACTTCCTTACTGTAACTAACACCTTCAGAACTTGGTCCATCTTCTCTCTTTTATATTTACTTTCTCTCATTTGACTATTTTCTTTCTCCCTCTTCACTAGCTCTTTTCTCTGCACCAAGTTCCCTAAACACACCCAAAATGTCCTTTTATCAGCCACACTGTATCCTATATCCTTCCCTAAAACAGTGACTCTAACCATCTCACATCACTACTTTCTAAATTACCATCCACAGAAAACTTACCAGGTAGTAGGTATAGTATAAAACACATTATATACTTAATCTTACTTAATTTTATAAGAGTAAACTGAGGCTTAGAAGGTTAAGAAACCCGCCCATGAGCAAACTGCTAGTGAATAACAAAGCTGGGACAGAAGTAGAGCTCTCTGGGTTCAGATGAGCTGTCGACATTCTGCAAGGACTGCCATCCGAAGGGCTTACTCACTGCTTCATACCCACATAATCAACCAAAAAGGCAAATTAACCATTTCTATTCACTTTAGTACTATAGTGAATTACATGCATATAAATCATAAAAAATCAATAAACTATCACTTAAACTTTTGGGAAAAACTCTCCATGCAAAGAAAAGAACAAAAACAAAGAAAGTAAACACACCTATTATTTAAAACAATCCCCAAGTTAAACTGAGATATATAAAAACAACCGTGAGAAATCAGAAAGTAAACTGTACCTTCTGTAGAAAGTAACTCTGAAAGCTCATAAAGTTGTTTGTTTTCACAATGTTTGGACAAGTTTTACAACAAAACATTCTAGTAAAGAGTGATTTCATGGCTGGTGGTCCTGTCCATGTGCTCACCATAGAATTTGCAATCTGTAAATCATTAGAGAATGAAATAATTTCCATTACTGTTACAAACATTTTTAAATAAATAAAACAGCTTTCAAAGTTATTGATAGTACAACTAGATTAGTTGTCAATAATTTCAATTCTCAAAAACTTAATAAAATTTACTATTTTATCCCCATTTTTAAGAAAATATACAAACTCACCCAACAAAAAAATTTAGGTGTACTTATAATTATTTTCTACAAGTTAATTTCTAAATAACAGTATTTTATGTTTTAAGAAAATGTATGCAAAATACTTTTATTTTGAATAAGTTTGTCTTTATTCCTTTAAGCAGATGTAACTCTAATGTTTTAAATTTATCAAAGAGAAACATTAACATTAATCTTAAAGGTTTTTCAATCTACCCTAATTGAAAAACAAGCCAAATGCAGTGCTGCTATTTAAGGCTTTACAAAAAAAAAAAAAAATCCACATGTTGTTATCAATATTTTTAGAGAATATAAAACCATGCCTAGAAAGAAATTATGGCTAACTTTTATTTTTTAATTATTATTTTTTATGTGTGTGTGCAATTTCTGGCTGGGGCTGGGTTTGAACCTGTCACCTCTGGCATATGGGGCTGGTGCCCTACTATTTTAAGCCACAGGCTGCCCCATGATTAACTTTTAAACAACATATTCTACAACTTTATGGATCTGCTGAAATCTTAGTATGCAAGAATCACAAATGTCTTTAGAGAAGCAATAAAATTATATCCAGAGCAGATGATTACTGCAGAAAATCACTGTTTTTCCTCATCTATCTGAGAACAGAGGACTTCAACTACTCATTTGTTATCATTAAAGATAAAACGAATCTAAACAATTACAATTTACTGAAATATAAAGACAAATGCATTTACCAGCGAGGAAGGCAAGAGTCAGTAAATAGGAATGAATCTATTATCAAGATGCTTTCCAAACACCTGGAAAATGTAATTTCTGGCCAAAATTTTGTCTGCATTTTTCTGGTTTTCATTTGTTCTACCTCCAGATTTTTTTTGCATGTAAAGAAAAATATTGGGTTTTCTTAATAACTTAACTTTTCTAGAATGTTAAATATAGAGCCTATCATTTTAAATTATTTACCACTAATACTGATTATTAAGGGCTTAATTAATATAAAATAATTACCACAGCGGGATAATTAAGACTTAACTGATCTCATGTACTATAATGTATAATATCAGTCAAACCAAGGATTTTCTTACCAAATATGTTCGTTGCTTTAAAAATGAGGTTGGCAATTCAATAAAATTTGAAAATTTTCTTTGATTTTAAAATCTGACTTCTCCATTTGACAATTAGTACATTGTTGTGCATATCTTTCTTCAGGTCAAAAAATGTTTCATTTATAACAGTTCTGTTAAATGCATTTGGCAAATGCTTTCAAAGAATCAGCTACCAAGTAATTTAAAGACTACGTGAATTTTATTTTATTCTCAGAGGTTTTGAAAAAAATATATATATATGGTAGTCATCTTGTTTCCTATCTACTATATATAATCTCACCTTTGCAAGGCAGAAGCAAGCTGACATTCTTACTCGGTAGAAACACTGCTCTTGTTCTAAAATGTCTGTGAGTGCAAGCCGAGATGCCGGAGTGGGAAATTTTTCCAAGGCCAAAATGGATTCCTGCTGTGCAACAACATCCCTCTCATAGCGGAGCTGATATTGCCACATAAAATCAGCTTGCTCAAATTCTACCTTCCTCAATACTGACATATCTGGGTCTATCCTTATCCACAGCAAAGGAGAATCAGCACTGAAAGAAAGTAAAATTTTCTTCTTTTAATTTTTAAAACTTATATAAAGTCCATAAGTTTATAGGGAAAAAATCAAACCAAGGTTTTCTTTTAGCCATAGTAGTTCAGACTACCCAAAGTTTCACTGCATTCACTTGTTTAAACTGGACTGACGAATTCCTCATTGTGTTTAATGTAGTTCACCTTTCTCACAGCGTCTAATCTACAACGATTTTGGTGTATCTATTTTTCTTCAGGGATAAGAAAAGAGTTGTCACAAAGGAAACTGAATCTTTCATTTTTCATCTGAAAATACTATTTTTGAGATTGTGGTTTGTAATGTGAAAAGAGAGTAAGACAAATTTCTCAACTTCCGATAGCCTAACAGTAATTCCCTTTAATGGAAATCAATTTAGGACTAAAAAACAAGCATTTATTTTACTAAAATAATTTGTTTAGCTGACATTTAACACTTCTTTAAAATGCTTAGACTCATGATCATCATTTTCAAACAGCACATTATGAAATCATTATTTGGAGGCATATCACAAATTTATCCTCATGTACTTCTCAAAGTAACAAACACAGTTTTAAAAATTTAGTCTGTATCAACACTTTCATCAAAATAATACTACCTGTGACACTAATGCAACTCAACAAATGCCACTGGGTGGTGACTATAGATAGAATACTTGTGGTTATATTTAAATATTAAACTTAACACTTATCTTGAAGGGCAAAATCCGTGAACATAACCTGTGTATAAGTATAAAGAGTATTGATAATTTGGCAATAGAGTTAGTAACTAATAATAGATGTTTTATAAAAGATATACAGACCCAGAATGGATGGGTAAAATAGGATATTTGAACTGTATTACTTTAAAAATAAAAAACACTAAAACAACCCCACTGTCAATCAACAAATTTTACCACATAAAATTTAGAATAGTGTTTTTAAAATTGCTTTGCAAGCACAGGGAGCCTCAAAGTATCCTGAAGTCCTATTCCAAAGACAAAGAAAATCAGTATCACCTGGGAGCTTAGGCGAGAAATGCAAATTATCAGGCTCCCTTAGAGTAGTACTAGATCAGTTACGGTATTTTAACATCTCCAAGAGATTTGCATGCATGTTGCAATTTGAGAAGCCGAGTTCCTGGCCACCAAGAGAGAACAAGAAAGCTGCCTTGTGAGGACTGTGCCTACCACCACAACCATCACTTAGGCCAAGGCAAACGTATTTTAATCTCTTTGACTAGTTATGATTTTATGTAAAATTTGCTCTTACCATAGGATTTATGTTTACTTTAAGAAAGTATTCATTTGGAGGACAATTATATCTTTTTAGATATGACTAATAAACGAGACAAATGAAAATGCAGAAAATACTGTAGTCTTAAATTTAATTTAACTAACTTACTCCATTGCGGAAAGATCCATATCAACTTCTTCTCCGTTCATCAGTGGGATTTTTTTCTTTTTATTCCTATATTTAAGGAAAAGTAAGTTTAAAAAATTTGTGATTTTCAATTCTGAATGGAGATTAAGGGCAGCTAAAGTTCACATAAAGGATTTTGGAGGGCAGGAGGGTGGGTATGGAACAAAAACTTGTCCATTAGGTAAAATGAACACTGTTCTGCTGATAAGCCCACCAAAGCCCTGACTTAAGCGTTGTATGAGATATCCTTGTAATGAAAGTGATTAGGATAATAAAACATCTTATGAGTATTAAGATATATAACCAATTAATATGCACAAAATTTAAGAGAAGCAAAAACAAAAGCAACTGTTCCTATGTAAGTCACTCCCACATCACAAAACCTGGTGAATAACACACTAACAACTCAGGGAAGGGCAAACAAAAATAGGAACAAAGAACGAAGTGCTCCCATGTTCCTCCCCATGTTCCTCGCACTGAAGAGTACTCCAAAGATACACTATCACTCTAGAGAAAGAAGGCCTGAGGGTAGCAATCACAAGTTCTGAATTTCCAAGGTGGACAGGACAAAAAGAAATAGGCATTTCACTTTGAATTAAGAATTTTCTTAGATTAAGAATAATTACAGGGCAGCACCTGTGGCTCAAAGGAGTAGGGCACCAACTCCATATACCGGGGGTGGCAGGTTCTAACCTGGCCCCGGCCAAAAACTGCAAAAGAAAAGAATAATTACAGAAAGATCTCAGAATCAAGTTCTCTGAAGGCTTTCAAAATTAATGTAACCTCTGTCTAAGATGAACTAAACAAAAAGCCATCGATGTGAAACTTCTGTTCCTAAAATGCTGATATTCCTCCAGCAAAGAACAGAGATGTTCTCATCTTTCATTACTCAGAGGACCAACTAACTGCTGAGTTAAATAAGTGGTAAAGGAAAAAATACATTAAATAAAAGGTAAATAGTTTAGAAATTTGGGGAGTGGCTATCTCCATTGAAAGAGATCAAGAATTGCTGTAGAGGCATATTGCTATAAAGACAAAGGAAAAGGAGACATAGTAAACAAGATGGAGGGCTGAACATATCCAGCTCTTCCATCGTCTTTTTTTAAATATTTCCCATAGATATTATTCCAACAAAACTAAACCTAAGTTGAACCTAAGTGATACGTCTTAAATTTTTCCTGGCTCTAAAAACTCTAACTCACCCTCTCCTTTCCTATAATGTCAGGATTCTCAAACTATAAAGCAGTTATATAACTCTAAAGACAAAATGTCACCACAAACAGAAAGGAAGCAAGAATGTCTGACAACACTAATTTGAAGTAAAATGGAGGAAAAAAGACACTAGATAACAGGCTTTTTACCTAAAAAATTGGGCATGCAACGGAATTGTTATTTCAGCATTTTAATCTGTAGGACTTTCAGTTTACAGTTATGATTTAATGCCTACCTTCTGCTTTTGGAATGGCAGGGTATATCATGTTTAAGGCTGTTTTCTTCAATTTGCAATGTATGATTGAAGGATCCATCTAACTCTTGCACTGTCACTTTAAGTGGTCCCTTCAAAGAAAAAAAATACTGTTAAAAGGTGTGATGGAAATTAACTAATATGTATGCTTATGTGTGCAGATAGATCTATATCAATATATAAAACAATATTACTTAAAATGTATACTTGGAATCAGAGATAGGCAAATGGTGCCAAAGAAAGGAAGAACGGGGAGAATGGGATGGAAGACTAAAAAACTGAAGGGCAAACTTAAAATTAGGAGAATTAAAGTCCTCTGAAATCTCTGCTTGTACCTCCTCATTCCTTCACTGACAAAGTTAATGTTTTATAAATTCATTCTCTTTAAAATCTCAGTATGAAACATCTAATTAGTAACCCCACCTCTAAGCCATTCCTATACTGCAACTGGGGAGAGAGCACTGCCAAAGGCCATTTCTTAAAGAACATTTACCACATATTTCTGAGTTCCTGGAGATGTATAATCTTGTTTTATTTCCAATTCTAAGACATTTCGTTTTCTATTAAATGCAAAACTTCCATAAAATTTTACCACTCCACTCTGGTCCCTGAAGAATTGTAAAGGAAATTTTACATACTGAAATAAATTATGTACTAAACAAAATAAGTTATTCATTACGGCACAGTATTAATAATTTTGAGATGCATTCCTACCAGTTCAAAGTTTGAAAGCATTTTTATGTAAACCAGGTGGCAAAGTATTCAGAATTCTTGTGAAAAATGCTTCCCCAGATTTAAATAAAATTTCTGAAATACTGAAAAATTTGTGTTTTTAAAGTAGCAAAACCACTACACTGGGTTATTAATATAATAGTGTTTTGAAATGGAAAATGCAAGCAAAATTCCAAGATACTACTCAAGTCTTGCCAACCTCTAACCACATTTAAAAGCCACCAGACGACTGCATTTTACAAGTAATCCTACAGGCTTGTCTGGTGGATTATTTACCTTGCCCACCATCAAACCTATTTCTTTACCCACATACTAAGAAGCAGTTTAAAATACAGTACGCCAAGCTTCACAATTACAAACATGTATGTGTGTGTAACTCAATGTTTAGTAGTCATCTTAGAGAAAATGATTCACAGTTCACGGCTATTTCTACTATTAAAAACATCAACAGTTCATACCAAAGTCCTTTTCTATATTCCCCTTACATGCATACACTATTCCCTTCCCCACTTTGTTGAATTGCTATTGAAAAGGATACACCCACTGCTTTATTAAAGGCTGGATGTCTTTGCCAGAGACATTCGAAATGGATTTCAAAAATCCAGATGTGGAAACCAACATCTGACTCCACATATGTGACTGGAACTTCTGTGATGAAGCAGTACTAGCCAGACTTAGCAGTTTATTGAAAACCTGTTAGGATAAAAGTGTCATTTAGTAAATTCACATTAACGTCACTTTGAATTGTGTACTATACCCACGTTGCACTATAACTTTCTTACAGTCAACGTGAGAAGACAACAATTTCATAAATTATTATATAGATGCTCTAGTTAAAGAATCCCAGCAATACTTAACATGCCAAGGTTTAAATGGAATATAAAACCATTCTTTATATAAACATTAATAAATGTTAAAGATGTACTAGACAAAGAATACTGTGTTTATTAAGAATTATAATAACATTAGGATTTGTACCACTCCAAAAATTTCAGTGGCTCTCTGTGGACCATCTTTCATTAGTGTTTCTGTTTTACATTATAAACACAAGGTGAGGGACAGAAGACTAAAAAAATTTAAGGGCAAACTAACATGCTTTTTTACAAGGAGTAAGTTAATTATTTTTTTACCTACCTCTAAGAATGTTATCAATGAAAAAAGTGGCTAAACATTTATAATACATCTCAAGATATTCCACTTGCTCAATTATTAGATCTCAACTAGTCATACCAAAATTTCCTTAAAATACATGGCAAAAGTTAGCAATAGTAAAAATAAACATCTTTTAAATTGGTCTGCTTTTTTCTATTGAAAACATTTCTAAATGACATTTCATCCTCAATGTAATACAAAATATAAATATTATATTATGTATTATAAATATAATATGCATAACTATGTTTTACTTTCATCTCCACATTCTAATTTTATCTTCATAATAATTATGTGCTAAGTGGTCACGTATTGATACCCATTCTGCATCTTAGGAAAAAAAAAATAAAAAGCAGAGGTTATTGCTTGATGTGGTGGTTCACACCTGTAATCCCAGTAATTTGGGAGGCAGAGGTGAAAGGATTACTTGAGGCCAAGATTTCAAGACCAGCAACATACTGAGACACAATCTCTATAAAAAATAAAAATATTAGCTAGGTATGGCAGTGGGCACCTGTGGTCCTAACTACTCAGAAAGCTGAGGAAGGAGAATGGCCTGAGCCCAGGAGTTTGAGGTTACAGTGAGCTATGATCTAGCCACTGCACTCCAGCCTAGGCAGGAGACAGAGTAAGACCTTGCCTCTATAAAAAAGAAAAAAACAAACCAAACTCCATTATTCCTAGTAGGCAAACAAAACCACAAACTCAGATGCTTCCTATTCTCTACAACAGCATTCAGATTATATACATATAGAATAGATCTTTACCACTGTTTACTTAACTTTAACACTTACTTGTAGCATAAATTCCATACTGATTCTATTTTCAATCAGTCTCATCACAAGGTGAGCTTTACACTGAAACATAGTGTAGTATTCCCAAGAAAGTGTATGTGGATGCTTTATTGAAAAATGTAGATGGGAAGCTGGACTAAAAAAAAAGTAAGCAGATTTATTTAATATAAGAAATTTAAGTACTAAACAATAAATTATGGCTATATCAAGACAATAGATCAAAAACCTCATGAGTACCTGAATACTAAGAAATACTAAAAATAAATTTAACTGGAAGAAAAATCTGAAGTTTTACTAAAAAGCACTGAAAAAATTTAAATAAATGGAAATAAATACTGAGCTTCTAGATAGGAAGACACAATGCTGTGACTATTTCAATTACCCCCAAATTCATCATTACAATCAATGCAATTCCAACCAATACGCCAACATTGAGCAAACACAAAAATATATTTAAGATGGATTACATACATAAAACAAACAAAAGAAAATAATTATAAAAGTACTAGAGGCCAGGTGTGGTGGCCTAGCACTCTGGGAGGCCAAAGTGGGAGGATCAATTGAGCACACGAGTTTGTGGCTGCAGTGAGCTATGATCATCCACTGCACTCCAGCCTGGGGGACAGACTGTGCCTCAAAAAACAAACAAACAAACAAACAAACAAACAAAAGCAATAAATAAAAAGAAAATTCATAATTTTAGGATGGAAAAAATTTCCTGAAAGAACAATACAAAATCTGCAAGACATAAGACCAAAATGACTATGTAAAAATTAAAAATTATGAAATGATGAAAAAGATAAAGTCTAGATGAAAATATCCATGACATATGTGAACATTTAAATTGTTTACAATTTCTTATTCCAAATAATGCTACACTGAATATCTTTTTATACATGTGCAAGTATTTCTGTACAATAAAGGCCCAGAAGTGTAATTTCTATATGATGACATATTTAGAAGAATTATTGGATCTAAAAATTACCCAATCTAGAATTTAGTTAGTACCAACAAACTACCTTTCAAAAACATTATATAAAACTATACTCTCACAATTAATGTATTAGTAGTGCTATAGTTTAAATGATGGTGTCCTCCCCAAAATTCATGTTGAACATTAACCCCCAATGCAACAGTTTGAAGAGGTGTGGCTTTGGGGAGGTGATTAAGTTATGAGGGCTCTACTTTCGTTAACACTCTCATAAAAAGGCTTGAAGTTGAAGAGAACGCTCTCTTGTCCTTCCATCTGAGGACACAAAGTCTTCCCTTGTGGAGAGTACAGCAATAAGGCACCATCTTGGAAGCAGGGAGCAGCCCTGGTTCCTTGATCTTGGACTTCCCAGCCTCCAGAACCATGAGAGATAAATGTCTATTGTTTATAAATTACCCAGTCTGTGGCATCTTGTTGTAGTAGCACAAATAGCTATGAAGTGGATTACAGCTCCTTCAAAATGTGGCATATTAAAATTTAAAATATTTTATCAACCCAACACTTGAAAAAAATTATTTTTATATTTCTTTTAACACTTCCAATCTTATGAGTTTGTAACCTTTAGTAATGAACAGTAATTTGGGAAAGATTAAATTAAATTCCAAGGTACAGTGGAATATTACTTAGCTCTTAAATAGAATAAAGCAAACTCATGTATGTAGCCAAGGTTTATAATGTCATCTCTGAACAATAAACATACTTATCCTTCTCTTTTCCTCCACCGAATATAGGATGTAGTAAAACTCCACCAGTTTTTAGTTCATATGCCACTATTTTGTCTAGCTCCTAAGAAAGATATAAAAATAGAAGTCAGTAAAATTTTTTATGTATCAGACTGGAGAACTAACCTGTGAATTCTCATTTCCTAGAATCAGCATGTAAATTTCTTAAAGTAAGTAAAATGTATTTGGAGAGTATCTTCTTATCAATAAGGCAGAATACAAGGCTGGTAGAATGGTAAGAGCCAAACAGCCTTCTCTACTTTGTGAAGTCAGTGCTGGCCAGCAGCCTGTCAACTGTTTCTTATAGCTCTTCTCAACCTCTCTGACCCGTCTTCCAAGTTTAGTTCTTCCTTCTCTGAAAATGTTACTTCTGGGGATTTAGGCAAGTAAAAAGAAATCAGGATAATTTATGTCAGGAATCCATCATTTAAAAATTTTTACTTTCTAAAAATCAAAGTAAAAGAAAATGTTTACATGAAAAAATGATATCACCATTACTGTATTGGAAACTCACGACTAGTATAAAAAATATAGATGCAGGACAGAAAAGTGGTAAACAGCAGAGTGAAGTAGTTAACAGTTTGAATACTGGCTCTACTACCTACTAGCTATGTACTTTAATCAAATAATTTAACCTCTGTGTACCTTAGTTTCCTCATAAAATAGGCACAATAACAGGTAGTTAGGAGAATTAAGATTATTAATACATATTTATAAAATGTTTACAATAAATACAATAAGTATTGTGTTAATTTTCTTCTTCTTCTTTAACAGTTTCTGAAATGAAGAATAAACTCTTCCAGTTCTAGATGTTTGAATCTTAATAGGAGAAACAAGATGGTTAAAGTCCTTGGCTTTTTTGGCTTACTTGAGTTTATGCTTGGATGATAATAATATATAAAACAAAAAAGGCAAGAAGATGATGGGATTTGTTTAATGAAGCAATTAAAGGCTGACATTTTTCTGCCTGTGAGGAAAGAAGCTAAGCATGTTATAATTAAAATATATATGTATACGACAAAAATCAGCTAAGCAACCTACAGTTGTTGTTTTTCTTTTTGGCAAGAATTTTTTATTTTTCATTTTTTTTGCAGTTTTTGGCTGGGGCCGGGTTTGAACCCACCACCTCCGGTATATGGGGCCGGTGCCCTACTCCTTTGAGCCACAGGCAACCACCAAGAATTTTTTAATTTTTAAATAGCAGGAAAAAGATGTGACAATGATATGAATGCATTCAAGGATAAGCCAGCATATATTATGTGCAAAGGACCAGGCACATTACATATAGAGGGTGGCCATAAATTTCGTGTGCATGTCTCATACTCCCTGTCCATGGGATAGATATCACTATTGCCTTCCTTATACAGATAATGCTCAGAAAGACTTAACACAGTCACAAAGCTAAACAAATTTAGAAATCAAAGTGATAAATGATTAATATAAGGAGCCACTTCTAACAACTTATGTGATGGTTAAGAAGATGGGGGTGAAAAATCTTTAGGGGCCAATACTCACAGTGGAAAACTAGATAAAATAGTCTTTCTCAATAAAATGATTCCCATTTTGCCAGGAAAAATGAGAGACTTTTAACTGCTACTTTTAAAGCATTTTACAATCCAAAGGAGGTAAGACTTGAAAATCAAGAGCACACTCCCACGTCTTACTGACTTTCTAGTGGATAATGGATCTTGCTGTTGTTACCTCTTTAATCCAATGGCGATATTCATTAACACCAAAAGTTTTTTTCATCCAAAGTCCATAAATATAGCCTGAAATTCCCTTCAATACCCATTCATCAGACCTAAGAAAAAATAAAGATATAAATGACTTTCAGTCATAAAAACTTTTCAGACAATATCAAAGAAAATAATGAAGTAAGTATAGTGTGTCATCCCCTACCTGCTTAGAGAAATTGAAAGTTACTGATAAACTATGAGGTTTCCCAACTCCTTCTCACTGAATGGAATTCTGTATGTCCATTCATTATACCTTCTTCACATGTAGCTTTACCTTTAATTGTAAGGCTGCTTTATAGTCAATCTTATTTCAAGGATAATTTATCAGTGTATGTGCTCAACTCTGACAGTACTGTTTTCCTCCTGCAAAAATCTGTTCCTAATGTCTCTGCCTCTAAGGAAATACTTGCTCACAGTCAGGACTGTTTTGCTCAATTCTAAAAGGCCACAATCTATTATTGTCAATGCTATGCATTATGCCATTATCAACAACATTTTAAAACCTAAAGTTTAATTACTCACTTTACTTTTTGGTTTCTCCAGGAAAAAAACTAATACCATTCACTTATTTATTCATTTTTATATTCATCTATCCATCCATTAATCCACAACATTTTACCTACCATGTCCCAAGTACTATTCTTTAATGACACTATTATGTATAATTTTAGGAAAATTACAAATCAGGCGACCTTGTCATCTGCCCTCTTCCCCTCTAGCAAGAAAGAAAAAGAAATCAAGATTTACGTACTATATATAGTATAGAATGTTTACAATTATAAATTAAAATCTTAAGTTCTGTGTTTTCTTCAAAATTATGTCAAGTTAATCAAAAAAGAAAATAAAACGTGTACACACCTCTTATCTTCTTTTTCAATAAATTGTTACAAAGCTAAGCACTAGCAGGCAAATCTCTCTATCATTATCAGTACTGTACAAGAGCATTATTTTGCCTTAAATGTCACCTTGAATATTTCCAAATGCTTTGAATATTGACATTAGAATTCCAACTAGAATTTTCTGTATATTTAAGTTCTTACAAGATCTAAGTATTTAGTTTTTTAAGATACTGTTTTATCAAAACTCTTACTTTCTACTTATTGTAAATTACAGCAGTAATTAATTTCATGGCCAAAAAGTTAACATAAAATTTATATTTATCATTTTTCTTTAAATATTCAAGGGATGCCTGGAAAGCATCAAGCCACGTAATATGCAAAATCATATTAACAATGACTGGATACTTTCTGGACATCCTCATATATACAGAATAGTACAGTCACATACCAACTAGAGGGGGTCAGGGACTGACCTCAGAGACCATTTGTTTTCAAATGTTCAGTTGTTCAGCTTAACCATATGTGTGCAAATCACTGTGGTGGGGTCACTTCCTGACCATCCCCCAGTGGAATAATCAACCTGCCATTAGGGCAAAGGTCATTTTACATTGTAAGAAAATAGAATAAAAATAAACTTTCCTGATTTTTTTTTTTAACCAGTAATGGTGACTTTGAGTTCACTCACCAAGACATTCTGGATATGAAACAGCCAAAAAATTGCTGGGCCAAGGACTGGGCTAAACATCTTCTAGTCAAAGGTGTCTCATCTATAATCATAGCACTGTGTAAAAGATTTGTGCTGGAATTTAAAAGAAAACTAATTATAAACAAGAAGATAACAGTTGTTGAGTCAAAGTAAAATAATCCCACTTTTAAAATAATAGAAGTTAAGTTACGTATAAAAGAGAAATATAGTAATAGTCTCCCAAAGAGTTTTCTAATTTTCAAAATTTGACTAAAATTAATAATCTTAGTAATTTCTGCTGAAAGTGAGAAACACAATGTTTACCACTGAATTCCTTAAAATGTGTAAATAACTTTTTGAAGAGTGGAGGTGGAAGCCTCATAGTATATTAATCAGAAACTGATCCTTATATGAAAGGGTCTCTCAAAATCTTTTCCTACTAATAACTATGAATTCTTTGTGCTCTGTTTTTTACTTTCAAATACATTATCCCACTGGATGCTTCTAATACCACTCTGGAAAATTAAGGGACAGGATTATTATTCCCATTCTATAGATGAGAAGATTTAAGTTCAGTGAAAGTAAAATGACTGACTTTCAGACGTAAAACTTCTATATTTGAAACTTTTGAAAGAAAGGAGAGAGGGAGGTAAGGAGAGCAAAAAAAAGAAAAACGTTCTCTGTTTAAAAAAAGAAACAAACAAATTTCTGAACGTAATAGTAAATATTTAAATAGTACCAGGAAAAATAAATACTAGTTACCCAAATAATAATTTGTATGCTTTTAAAAAAATTTATAAGCAGGCGAGGTGTGGTGGCCCACACCTGTAATTCTAGCACTTTGGGAGGCTGAGGCGGGTGGAATACTTGTACTTAGGAAGGTGAAACCAGCCTGAGCAAGAACCCCATCTCTACTAAAAATAAAAAAATTAGCTGGCCATGGTGGCACATGCCTGTAGTCCCAGTTACTTGGGAGGCAGAGGCAAGAAGGTCACCTGAGCCCAGGAGTTTGAGGTTGCTGTGAGCTATGATGACACCACAGCATTCTTATCCACTGAGGGTAATAGAGATTTGTCTCAAAAAGAAAAAAAAGAAAGAAAAAAATTTATAAACAGAAAAGAGACTAAGAAATTTGAGAAATATTAGTGTCACTTAACTCTGGCTGATACTAATATATATCTTTTGAGTTACCTTATAATTTATTTCTTCATGTTTTTCTACATTTTTAAATTTTATTTTACTTCATTTTATTTATTTATTTTTTGAGACAGAGTCTCACTTTGTTACCCTCTGTAGAGTGCCATGGTGTCATAGCATCAAGCTCACAGCAACCTCAAACTCTTGGGCTTAAGCAACTCTCTTGCCTCAGCCTTCCTTCCAAGTAGCTGGGACAACAGGCGCCTGCAAAAATGCCTGGCTATTTTCAGAGAAGAGGTCATGCTCTGGCTCAGTCTGGTCTTAAACCTGTGAGCTCAGGCAATCCACCCACCTCAGCCTCCCAAGTGCTGAGATTATAGGCGTGAGCTACTGCACTGGCCCTGACATTTTTAAATTTCAAAAACTAGCCTTTTTGGCCAGGGGTAGTGGCTCATGCCTGTAATTCCTGCACTCTGGAAGGTCAAGAGAGGAGGATCTCTTGAGCTCATCAGTCAGGAGTTCACAACCAGCCTGAGCAAGAGTGAGACCCCCATCTCCACTATAAAAAGAAAAACTAGCTGGCTTTGTGGCAGGCAACTGTAGTTCCAGCTACCTGGGAGACTGAGGCAGGAAAATCATTTGAACCCCAGAGTTTAAGGTTGCTATGAGCTAGGCTGACACAATGACCCTCTAGCCTGGACAACAGAGTGAGAGTCTGTCTCAAAAAAACAAAAAAAACCCAAAAGAACCCCAAGATTTTTTACAAAGTGAACTACAGCTAAGTTAAAGGAAAAAAATTAAAAACGTATCTTAAGATTGATCACAAATCAGTGACTTTTCTCCAGATCATTAGCCCAAATTTAGGTGTTTCAAATTTGAAGAGATACCAACCTAAAAATGCTCATGGAAGCATAAGCAGCCACTTCAACATAAGCCTCATCAATGAATACAGTCTTAAAACAGGAGTATGGATATCGACATGTAAGAATTTCTTCATAAAATTCAAAGACTTCATGAAGGTATGATGTGGTATGTTTCAGCAATGGAAGAAGTTGGGGTAAACAAAAATGAGTAACCTGAAAACAAAAAGCAGAGAAGACCCTCTAAATGAAGGAGTTAACTTTAATACTTTAAATTTCATAAATATCTTAATTATAAATAATTATAAATAAATGTTCAAATCCAGTTTTCTTATTAATTTAATGAAGCTGAAAGAAAATGCTGTTGTAAAATTAGTTGAGTCCCTTACTGAACATGTTTACAAAATATACATTGTACTGTAAAATTAATGATTAGTTATGTCTGAGGAAATGTGGAATGCGTAGATACATTGAATTTCTTCTGATATGTCTATACAACAAGAAAGACTTTCCAAGGCTTATTATAAATTTACCTCTTATTTATAAATATATAACCTGGTCAGCATTGGACATTATACTACTCTCTTAGTAATCAAGAGTTAATGTCATTCTATCTGTATATCAAGAATAATTTTATAGTCTTCCTCTAATATTTCAACTATGCATTGATATCTGCAGGGAAGCTTAATGGTAGTTAGGAAATAAAACATGTCCCCAAGAGAAACAGCAGTTCTGGTTTTCTCATTATGTGATGTCTCACCTTGTTCACACTAATATCATATACTGCCTTGTGTTAAAATCCCAGGCCCAATGAGCAGCATCAACAATGACACAGGTCATTCAGGTTTCACGCAGGAGACTGAATCTGAGGTAATGTTTTTGAGTTGGACAAAAGTTTGATAGGTGAGGATGGTAAAAGAGAATATCCCAAAGTAAAAACAGGAAGAAATGAGTATGATCAGAGAATTATGAGTAAACTAGTTTTAATATAATATTAAGGTCAAATTCTAGCTAGAAGATTTTGAAAGCCCTTCTAAAGAGTTTTGAATTGTTGCAGAATTGTAAAGGCAAGGGAAGCTGTAAATGTACGATCAAAATTATTTTTTTTTGGTTAAGTATTAAACTAAATCATTATTAGGAAACCCCTTGGTACACAAATCACAAAAAAATACTACTCATCAAAAAAAGTACTCACTTTTAGAAAAACCTACATGATAGCAAATCTACTGGTAACGTAGGTAACAATTATTAAATATCTAAGACAGAGACAGACTAAGTTATGATATCTAAGTATTTAAGAAAAGTATTTCTCAACTGTCATTCAAAAACAGTGTGAAAAGATCTTCTAAAATACAAAATAAGTAAAAATCAAATGTAGATTTTAAAGTTGATCATTTATCAAAGACAATAAAGTTCACTGACAATCTTATCAGTGGTTGCTGCTTTAAGAGTCACTGTCAAGACAACAAAAACAAAAACGTTGGGCGGTGCCTGTGGCTCAGTGGGTAGGGCAGGGCACTGGCCCCATGTACCAAGGGTACGGGTTTGAACTGGCCCTGGCCAAACTGCAACAAAGAAACAGCCGGGCATTGTGGCAGGCACCTTTAGTCCCAGCTATTCGGGAGGCTGAGTCAAGAGAATCGCCTAAGCCCAGGAGTTGGAGGTGGCTGTGAGCTGTAATGTCACGGTGCTCTACTGAGGGCGATAAAAGTGAGACTCTGTCTCTTTAAAAAAAAAAAAAAAAAGAAAAAAAAATCACAAAATATCCTGAGTCTTTTTCACAAACGATTTTATTGTAAATTTCAGGAAAGTAAATACAAAAGGCATACTGAGGAGTTCACTGACAGTCTTTCTAAAGCTCATTGTTCTCAATTTTTATTCACGTAAATGAAAAAATGCTGACGTACACACGCTCAAAATATAGGCTTACATTATTAAAAAAAGAAAACTGAGTTGAAAACATAATGAAATGATAGAAAATAAAAAGAGATTCATTCAAATGTTATTTTAAACAAGTATAGAAGCCAAGAGAGTTAACAACTAATAAAATCATTTTCTAACCAGCACCAGTCTCATTCTTGGGGAGGCCTAAAATTACAATTTGGCCTATCAACTGATATACGATCTATAACATATGTGCTGAAAAGAAACTAGAAGTCTTCTGAGTTTGCTGACCAGAACTCTAATTCTACCTCAGACTTTTCTCTTTTCCTCTATAAAGTGAGAATAAATCTTACTCTTTAATTTACAATATTTCAGATTCCAGAGGTGGGATTATAATATTCAAAAACATATATACTATGCAAAAAGATGAAATTAGTAATGAGAATTAGTTACAGAGACTGACCTATACTCAAAATCAAAGCACAGCTGAACCTCTTTTGCAATGCTAAGCCCCTTGCTGACAAACCATCTGAAATTTAAACACAACAATTTGTTGAAAGGAATTCATTCATGAATTCGTATCATTAAATAACCAGACAAGGAAACATTTTCTCTCTAGTTATATTCTTAATAACTGAAAGAGTTAAGAAAGACTTACTATTTCACTAACCTTTTTATAAGGAATAAAAGGGTAAAAGGTGAGTAAGAAGAGAGAAGCTCTGACTTACTTCATGCATATATGGATCTACAAGTATTTCAAATGGTCCAATGGCCAAAGAGATATTTGACGCTGCTGTAGGAATGGTAAGCATGTAATGGAAGGTCTTTTTCCTCATATCATGGGTATATACTGTTTCCACCAAATCTCCATTGGAAACAGCCACCATGGCTGCATCCACTGTGAATTCTAATTTCCATGTACACAATTCAGAGTATGAATCAACACAAGGGAACCAAAATCTAGAAAAAAAGATCAACATTATAGAAAACACATGACAGAGTACCCTACATCATTCTCTGCATGCTAGTTATTTTAACATTTTTAGAAAATGAAGAAACTTTAGTTATTTGGCTACTGAAGCTTTTTTCTCTGCAAACTGAGGGATCTGATAAAATCAGTTTCCAAATATTATTTAGCAATATTAACCAATATGTTATAGCCAGTTCAAATCCTATCCCTTTAAAGAGTTAAGCAGTTCTCAGTTCCTATTTTTTTAATTAAAATAATTTTAACTTGTATATTTACATTAGTAAGTAATGTCATTTTCTTTTTTTTCCTTGTGACAGAGTCTTTTTCTGTCACCCAGACTAAAGCGACAGCCTAGTTCACAGAAACCCCAAACTCCTGGTCTGTAGTAATCCTCTTGCCTTTGCCCCCAGAGTAGCCTAGTACTATAGGTGCATGCTACCATACCCAGCTAATTTGTCTATTTTTAGTAGAAAAGGAGTCTCACTTTGTTTACTTAGGTTGTTCTTGAGCTCCTGACTTCAAGAGACCCTCTCACCTCAGCCTCCCAGAGTGCTAGGACTACATACAGGCATGAGCCACCATGCCCAGCCACATTAAGTCAGTTTTTATGGAGATTTATTTTCAGAAACTAAAAATAATTTATAAGAAATTTGTATAAAACATAATTAATATCCTGAATATATTCCTCAAGTTAGGAGACTGCTTTTTTGGAGTATGCAATGTGTTTTATAAATTCATACCTAGTACTGGTAAAGTCAGATATAAAATTTATATTGGATTTTCACCAGTTCAGGTTGGGTCTTCCTATGTGCCAGGTTTGGTTCTTGATATTGAGGGATACAAGACTGTGAGACATCCCTGGCTTAGAACAGTGTGAGACTATAAAATATTATAATGTAACACTTCAGTTTTTGGCCGGGGCTGGGTTTGAACCTGCTACCTCAGGCATATAGGGCCGGCGCTTTACTCCTTTGAGCATAAGTGCCGCTCATATAATATAATATTTCAACAACACATAATAAACTATAGAGCTAAGAGAATGAATATACCATAATTACACACAATAATCTAGGTAAATTTCACTATTAACTGACTGCCACACTAGAAAAAAAATTTTTTTCCCTTGGGGCTATGGTATTTTATTAGGTCACGAGACATGAGAGTTATATATGCTTCACAAGGCCCCAGGCTCAAAACTAACATAAGCTAACTACAATTCACCTGGCAGCTAATATATTAATTAACATTAAACAAAAAAAGGCACACATAAACAGCACAGTACACGATTCATTTACACAAAGTTCAAAAACAAGTGTAATTAATCTATGGTACTTTGGAAATCACAAGAGGTGGGCAAATAGTGAATGGAAAGTGGATAAGAGGGGTCTCTGTGACACTGGTAATGTTCTTGGTCTTGATCTGAGTGTGGATTACATGGGCTTGTTCACTTGTGAAAATTCATTGAGTTTCACGTTTACAATTTGGGTAATTTTCTGCATGCATGTTTTATTATAATATATAGCTTAAAAAAAGAAAGGATCAAGTAAAGTGATTATTTTAGAACAGGAGACTTGAAAAGGAGGGACAGGAAGAGAGAAAAAGAAAATTGAGAAGAACTAATGAGAATGATTTATAAGAGGTGTAAGTTCAGGGAGTCACGTTAATACTTCTCATAAATATAAACATTACACAGACACAAGAAAGAATGTAATTAGAAATACAATTATTGAAATATAGAAAAATTTATAATCTACCTTGTAGAATTTTGATACCCACAAGAGAAAACATGAGCACCTCTCTCTGCCATACTTCCCTCTACACTGGGTACTACAAAATGAAGACCTCCTTTTGGCTGATCCAAAGAAAAATTGATGTGTATCTTTAGGACCTTTAACTCTGCAATAAAAAAATACACAAACATTGATACATAAGTAACAGTGATAATAAAGGTAAAGACTTAACGCTCAACATAAAATGGAAATCAAAGGTGAGTTTTATCTGAAAGATCACGTTTAGCCTAGTTTAGGTTTTTATCATGTCTCTGCCTATAATAACTCAACAGCCTGCCTGCATAGGTGTTCCTACCTCCAACCAATTCTAATCACTGTTCATAGATTTTCCCAAAATATAGCTGTGGTCATGCCATAACCTCCTCTCAATGTTTAACAATGTGTAATGTCTAAAGAAAAAGTTTAAAACTCCTACACTGGACACTAAGCACCTTCCAAATCCAACCCCAAACTTGCTTTTCAAGTTGTATCCTCCTAGTATATTCTCCCATAAAAATGTTCACCCTAATTGACTTTGGGGAGTAGAAGTAGGGTAGGGGCTAGGAGAGCAGGAAGGACTACCAGAGAATTTGCCTTATTATGTTTTTTATGTTTCATTTCTACATAATAAATATGTTGTTTTCATAAAAAGATTAAAAAATATTTCTTTCAATTTCTTCCCAAACATTATGACTATTTGAACTATCTCCAAACCTTGAATATGCAATGGAGAACTTTTACGCTTGTCTATTAAACTGGGTAATCCCCGATAAACGCCACCCCATCCCCATATCTATGTTTCTGATACAAACGGAAAGAAGATATGCAGAAAACAAAAATTAAACAAAGTCTTTTACTTCCTTGTCTTGGTTAATTTTTAAAAGGCAGAATTTAGGGGGCAGCACCTGTGGCTCAGTGGGTAGGTCGCTGGCCCCATATACCGAGGGTGGTGGGTTCAAACCCCGCCCTGGCCAAACTGCAACAAAATATAGCCAGGCGTTGTGGTGGCCAACTGTAGTCACAGCTACTTGGGAGGCTGAGTCAAGAGAATCACCTAAGCCCACGAGGTGGGGGTTGCTGTGAGCTGTGTGATGCCACGGCACCCTACCAAGGGAGATAAAAAACAGTGAATGAGGTACTTTTGTCACAGCCCTTGATTGTCCTATTTTTGCTACCTTAACAAAAAAATCCTTTCTGTATATTTCAAAAGGTTAATTTATACTTTGAAAATATTAGTTTTCACATAAAATTATCTAGTCTCTGAATCTAGAATGATTTTACTGTTCAACCAATATAGCCTTGGTGCTTTACCATCAACATGTTTCCATAGCTCTGATGGAACCTTAATGCAAAGTTCTCCATTTCCTGCGTCAGGATCCACAGCACTAACTGCAGCTGCATAAGCATTGGAAAAATAGTTGAGATTTCTCCTGGGGGGAAAAAAGAGCCAACTTTGAATAACAGTAAGTCATGTATTTTACCAACCGTTTTCTTAAATATCATTTGATATCACTCATCAAAAAAAACTAAACTATTAAAATAATGGCATTATTTTCTATTCACAAATGTTATGACTATTATTATCGCATTCTTCATTAATTTAGGAATGCCAAAGGCACTACATGCTTATAATACAAATGGAAAGGACATATGCAGAATTTAAAAAACAATTTCTCTTTTTCAATCTGGAAAAAACTTGAATTGATTCAACAAGCCTTATAAAGTAACAAAAATTAAGACGTCTAAAACAAATCAGGATAAGATTTGATTCCTCAAAATGTAATACCACTTACTTCTACTACCCAGGAAATTACAATGTAAACTGGAAGGTACGGATTTTCAGCTGGTTTACTGTTAAATTCATGGAGTACTCAAGGAGTATTTGTCCAGTAATTATTTGGCCGTATTTCCCGTTGACAATAAGGAAAACAACACATACTAGTCTTACAGAACTATGAAAACATTGCTTTCACCAGATTTTCTAATTTTATCCCATAAAAACAATTTACATGTATCTACATATATATTACATTTCCTCACTGAAATCAGTTAAAGTAATATGAAAAGAATTGGAGAAAGGAAAAAGAAAAGGAATGGAAAGGGCAAGAAAACAAGAAAGGCAAATACCATAAGCCATATTCTTGTCATGCAACTTTAGTCTACTATCCTGCCATTAGGTGAAGCCATAAGATAAAGTCAGTGACATTTCCATAGCTTAATACATTTTTAATATAGTCAAAAGACACGTTTCATCTATAGAATGAAAATGAGAAAACACATTAAAGAAACATCAGGTGATTCCTTCCCCATCTTCATCCACCTTTTCACCAAGTAGGAAAGAAGTAAAATAAGATGGCTCTAACAACTATTCAAGGTTAACAAACCATAAAACATGACGTTGTGGAAGTAAAAAGACTGCTTACTATATTTTAACAATTTCTGTTAAATGTGTGAAAAAAGATGTAAAAGCTTCAGAACCATAATAAAAATAATAACTGTGTTTTAACACACTATATGTATGCATACTCTGGAGATGTTGCAGGTTGGGTTCCAGGCTATCACAATAAAACAAGTATTACACAAAATGAGTCACACAAATATTTTGGTTTCCCAGTGCATAAATGTTATATGTACATTAATCTGTAGTCTATTAAGTAGGAAATAGCATTATGCCAAAAAAACAAACAAAAAAAAAACACTGCATATACCTGAACTAAAAACTGCTTTCCTGCTAACAAATGCTAACAGTCACCCTAGCCTTCAGTGAGGTGTAACTGTTGTTCTGATGGAGGGTTTTGCCTCCATGTTCATGGCTGCTGATTGATCAGGGTGAGAGGTGGCGAAGGCTTAGAAGGTTATGTCAATTTCTTATAATCAGACAACAATGAAGTTGGCCAAATGGACTGACTCTTTCTTTCACAAATATTTGTCTGCAGCATGTGATGCTGTTTGATAGCATTTTATCCACAGAACTTCTTTTAAAACTGGCATTGATCCTCTCAAACCCTGCCACTGCTTTGTCAACTAAGTTTATCCCACCATCTTTACCACAAGCAGACTCCATCTGAGGAAACCATTTTTTTTTCATCTTTATGAAGAAACTCTTCAATCCATTAAAGCTTTATAATAAGATTGTAGCAATTCAGTCACATTTCAGTTCTTTTGCTCTTTCTACCACATTTATTATTACTTCCTCCACTGATGTTGTGAAGCTCCCAAAGTCATCCACGAAAGTTGAAATCACCTTCTTCTAAACTCCTGCTAATGTTCACATTATGGCCTCCTCCCATGAATCATGTATGTTCTTGATGGCATCTAGACAGGTGAATCCTTTCCAGAAGGCTTTCAATTTACTTTGCTCAGATCCATCAGAGGAATCATGATCTATAGCAGCAATATAGCCTTATGAAATGTACTTCTTAAGTAGTAAGACTTGAAAATCAAAATTACTTCTTAATCCATAGGCTACAGAATGGATATTGTATTAGCATACATGAAAACACCAACATTAACCTCTTTGTACATCTCCATCACAGCTCTTTGGGTGGCCAGGTGCATTGCCAAAGAGCAGTAATATTTTGAAAGGAATCTTCTTCTCTGAGCAGTAAAATGTCTCTGAGCTGGGCTGAAAATATTTTGTAAATCATGCTGAAGATGTACCATCATCCAGGCTTTGTTGTTCCATTTTATAGAGTAGCCCCAGAGTCTATTTAGCATAATCCTTAGAGGGTCTAGGATTTTCAGAATGGTATGAGCACTGGCTTTTATTTAAGGTCACCAGGTCCATTAACCCCTAATAAGAAAGTCAGCCTGTCCTCTAAAGTCAGGCATTGAATTCTCCTCTCTAGCTATGAAAAGTCTAGATGGTGTTCTTCTCCCAATATAAGGTTTCTTACACTGAAAATCTCCTGGTTAGGGTACCCAACTTTATCAATGATCTTAGCTAGTAGATAACTGTTGCAGCTTCTACATCAACTTTTGCTGCTTCACCTTGCACTCTGATGTTAAGGAGACAGCTTCTTTCCTTAAACCATTTCTAGCTTTTGATTTAAAGTGAGAGATGTGAGACTCTTCCTCTCACTGGAAAACTTACAGGCCATTGTAAAATTACTAACTGGCTTATTTCCAATTCTGTTGTGTCTCAGGAATACAGAGGCCCAAGGAGAGGGAGAGAGGTAGGAAACAGCCAGTCTGTGGAGCAGTCAAGAATACAAAGGTTTGCCGCCTAATTGTGGCACTCCAAAACAATCACAAGAGAAACATCAAAGATCACTGATCAGAAATCACCATAACAAACATGATAATGAGAAAGTGTGAAATACTGAAAGAGTTACAAAAATGTGACAGCCACACGAAGTAGCACGTGATGCTGGAAAAGTGGTGCCACAGACTTCTAATTCGTAAAAACCACGCTACCTGCCCAGCACAACAAAGCAAAATAAAATAAAACAAGACATAACTATTTTTAAATTATCATTCAATTAAAGTAACTTTTTTTTTCCTTTGGGATACAGTTCTACAATGTTGAACACATGTACAGATTCAGGTAACCCTTACTACAATCAGGATATAGACAGCTCTATCACCTTAAAAAAGGCCCCTGAGCTATCTCCCTTATGTCAAATAAATGGAATCACACAGAAAGTAACCATTTGGGACTGGCTTGTCTCACTATGGTTTTGAAATTCATCCAAGTTGTAACATGTATCAACAATTTGTTCCTTTTACCACGGAGGAGTATAACCTTGTGTAGATTGTACTACAGTTTATCTATTTAGCAACTGAAGGACATTTAGGTTTTTTCCAGCTTTTGGCCATCACAAATAAAGCTGTTATGAATATCTGTATACAGATTTTTGTGTGAAGTGTTCATTTCTGCAGTATAAATACCCTGAAGTGGGACTGCTGAGTCATTTTGTAAACATATGTTTAACATTTTAATGACTAGCCAAATGGTGTTCCAGAACACTGTACCACTCTGCATTCTCACCAGCATACACCAAAGTGCCAGTAGCTCCCATTTGTCATTAGCACTTAGTAACATACCATCTGATTTTAAGAACATTTTATATATCTACAGACAGTACTTAATTTTCAACAAAATTCCAAAAACATGAAATTTGAGAAACAGCTGCATAATCTTTATCTCTCTCCCAAGTTATTTGTAAAATACAAAAAAATTATAATAATGTTGGTTGTATATCAAAAAGAAAGCCAGATTTAAACATTAGAGCTCGTAGGTTTTTTTATGAGAAATTACTTTCACTTAATGTCCTCATTTCCTGAGAAGGCAGAAAGTAGTCAAAATAAAATGGGTAATTATCAATGGATTCCATATAAGTACCCATAAAATGGGTAATTATAAATGGAATCCATTGAGAAGTCAGTAATGAGTAATAATCTTCTGATGGTTTAGATTTCACTGTACAAGCCAAATATATTTTCTTTCATTAATTTCCAGAAGTAAAATAATATAGCTATTGATTATAATAGCTGTTTTCAATTTTCAGCATATTAATGACTGCAAAATATTGAATGCTCCTGCTCTATAACCATTACCATCCACATCTCCCAGTCCATGTAGAAACACAACTTAAAGATGAGTAATGCTAGAGATAGATACTGAAATACTAGCAAATTAAGGGAATCCAAAGAATTTCCTCTAAGAATTTATTATATATATCCCTGTTAAATTAATCTGATAATGTTTTGTCAAATAAAGAATATTTCCTTCTTAATACTATAGGTGCAGATTTCATTAAACTTCAATTTTGTCGGGGCGTAGCAGTTCACACCTACTATCCTAGCACTCTGGGAGCCCGCGTGGAAAGATTACTTGAGTTCAGGAGTTTGAAACTAGCTCTGAGGAAAAGCAAGACCACATTTACTCAAAAAAAAAAAAAGAAAAGAAAAAGAAAAATTAGCTAGGCGTGGGGTTAAGTACCTATAGTCCCAGCTACTTGGGAGGCTGAGGCAGAAGGAGCACTTGAATCCATAAGTTTGAGGTTGCAGTGAGCTATGATGATACAACTGCCCTCCAGCCTGGGTGAAAGAGCAAGACTCTGTCTCACCAAACAAACAAACAACTTCAGTTTTAATTATTTATAAATATTTCCTCTATTTTAAAAAATTTTTATGAAAGTACAATATATATCAGAAAAGTAAACATGCCCTAAGTGTACATCTGGTGAATATTTATAACTAAAAAACCCAAGTAATAAGCCAATACAAAAATGAATAAAGATGACTTTTTAAAAAATAAAACAAGGGGGGGGAGGCGGCGCCTGTGGCTCAAAGGAGTAGGGCGCTGACCCCATATGCCAGAGGTGGTGGGTTCAAACCCAGCCCCGGCCAAAAACCACAAAAAATAAATAAATAAATAAATAAATAAAATTTCTTTTAAAAAAATAAATAAATAAATAAATAAAAC